TCAAGCTTAGTTTCCCGATGCCTCGATGATTTACCTCGACACAAACAAAGGCAAACATGTATGCGCCCGACAGTTTCACAGACAACATGGGATCGTACAACGTGAAACGGCCAAAGATACAGTGAATTATCGACAGGATGAGAAGTACATATTGGCTCCAACAGACATGTTCCATCAGATGGTCGAGCTGCAAGGTGATTGGCATTGGTCCGCTGAGAGTTTAAGAAACATGACTTACACATGCATGATTCAGGGAGTGGGAGTGACGAGAAGTGCTGCACAACCCGCAGAGCAGGTTCCGAGGGCACTGTTGCACGCAACAATGACCGCAGGGGCCCCCGCAGCTGCTACGGTACCAAACGTAAATCCGGCCGCGGCGTAGCATGCGACAGCCACAACGTTACACCCCGTTTGACAAACTCCGTAGGTAAAAGGACCCGCCAATGCAGATGGGGCAAGGGCGAGAGCGGAGAAGAGGATGAGAGGATTAAAGTATTTCATGTCGATACTGTTTGGCGATCGTCAAAATTTAACGCGCAAGAGCGGTTTGGTAGGTTATGGTGGTTCGTTGGAAACCTGGTGATTAGGTTTGAGCCGCAAACCAGTCTTATATACCGCCAGGATGAATATATTGGCCGATCCTTCTCGTTTTGAACACGTTGCAACCCCCCCACACACGCACACAACTGCGGACACATGGTGGAAACCACGAAATAGATGACTCGTGCATGGTCCCGAGTATTCCTGGGCCAAAATCAACATAATGAACGCGACGTCGCCCATGGTTTGCACAATATCTTCATCAGTTCGCAACCTCCCTGTTGTGCAATGGTCCGCCACCGACCAAATTATTGCGTCCCCACTATAATCGGATACTTGGTGCTATCCAACCTCAACGCAGAATTCCATAAATCCCCAGCCGTCACCGAAGTCGATTCGTTTAGGATTATATCTAATCTCCGATCAGCCGCGTCTTGTCCGGTGATATATCGTTATCCTATATCACAAACCGATCTCTCATCCCTCCACTATACCTCAACTCCGCTTTTGTTTCTCTGCACACCTTGGTGTCTGACGCCATTTTGGCTACTCCTTTCCCCACTCTCATATCCCAAATCCGTGATTCGACAGTCGTCCTTAAGCCTTGCGCGAGTTTCAGTCAGTCTTCCGGACTTTACGCGAGAAGGACGTCGATTGGTCACCGAAGAGTGTACTGTATATAGCCGAGCCGCCACTTCTGTTAGTTGGATTTAGATTTATCCAAATCGAGTGGCTGGGTCACTGATGGTTCCGCAATTTCTAACGCTCTGCGGTTACTGTTCCTTCTCTCGGTGCAGATTGTCGGATGTGAGGGTTCGGGTCTGTCTGTCAGGTCACAGCAGCTCAAGATTGAAATATAACATATACACAACATGGGTAATGGAGGACATTGCACTGGCATACCAACTCTTAAGTGGGCGCCACTCCAATCTTCCAGATGACCGGCTGCAAGATGATTGACGTCAATCAACTTGACTGCTCACAATTCAGGGAATGGGAAGGATGAGAAGTGCTGCGCACCCCGTAGGACATGTTCCAAGGGCGCTATTACACGCCACGATGGCAGGAAGGGCCGCTGCAGTGACCACAGTACCAAACTTAGATTCAGCTGCAAAGTAACACGCTATAGCCACGGCATTACAACCGATTTGGTACATTCCATCAAAAAGGGGGCCGCCAATGCGAGCGGAGCCAGGGTGACAGCGGAAAGGAGAACGAGAGGGCTAATGTACTCCATTTTGGTACCACTTGGTGGAAGTTAGCATGCATCCATCGCCCAGACCGTTTTCGTAGATGATGGCGGTTTGGCGGGTTCCGAATCGCGAATCAGCACTATATACTGCCGGGATGAATACATTGGCCGATCCTTTGAGCAAGTTACAAACTGTGTTAGCACCCACATGTGGTCCTGAGTATTCCTAGGCCAAAGTTACTGGTAGGGAGCGTACCACCACGGATGATTCTGCACAGTCCCTTCATTGGCATAATCATCCTCGATACGGAATTCGAGCCTTGGATCGGGGAGTCACGAGGGTTCCCTCCATCGACTCGTCAATCACTTCAGGTGGACTTTCTGGCATGATCCAGGGGAAATAAATAGGTACATATACACTCCGTTATCGACTCAACGACGGGAGTATGTTAGCTTCGTAAACGTGAACGAGCCCGGCTGGGGCCGCGCCAATTTTTTTTGCACAACCGCTGGGACTTCGAAAACCTACTTGTTGTTTGTTTCCTTCTCAAGTGATCATGCGTGGATAGCCTCTAGGTACAGTAAGGACTTGATTGAGTTTTGGGGAGCTCACTGGCACTTCTGGCTCCCTCTTCCAGTAATGGCAATTTCACCCTGTCGCGGTTATCCCTGCCAGCTCATCTGTTTATGCGTAGCTATTCTCCTAGAGATGAGTCCCGCCTAGAATTTAGACAGCTCCCAATATTAATATGATCCCGTGGGTTGCACTTTGTATCTTCAATTAGCTGAGTGTCATCCCTATGAGTGAGCTTGTGCATCATTGGCTTCATCTGTTAAAATCGTGGCATCGCAGCCCGACATTCCGAGCACGCCACTTCAACATTATCAGCGCATGAGTGCACTGCTTTGAGTTCTTTCCCGACATGAGGCCGCAGAAACTCCTTTTCTTTTGCAAAGCACGTGGGGTTTATTTAACGCGTTCCTCCATCCTGATATATTCTGGTTGTACAACTGTATCGTCAGCTGCCCACGTCAAGGGGTAACCCCAGTTCTCAACTCTCGAACCCCCAAACACCGAGTTGAAAGGAGTGCCATGTCCAACCCAGGCCCTTCAAAACCAACGTCTTCTCCAGTCGGGATCCACTTTCCAGGGCGTCAGGATGATCGTCCAGTGGCGGGCCAGGCACAATTCGCTTCTAATGATTCACATGGCACGCCTGCGTCGTTTGGAACTCCACCTCCAAATATCCCACCACGTTTCGTGAGTGCCAGTTTGAGACCGAGTGTGAGCTCCTCGCCTCGATTGGGGCCGGCGTTCGGCTCACCATCTCGTGGAAGCCCTCTTGTGAGTGGCCGAGCAAGCCCTGCTGGACTCCCGGAGGTTCGTGATGAACGCGGCCGCTCTGGGACCCCAATTCCCAGAGAGTTGGATGGGTTGCCAGATGAGGAGAAGGCTCGTGTGCTGAGGAGGCATTTGGTGTCCCGTGAGGAACGAGGTAGTCGTGCACCATCTATAACCCCAAATGTGTCTGCGAGACAGGATACGGGTGGTGTAAGCGCTGTGCCAGGAAGATCCAAAACTTCTTCGCTCTACGAGATGGATGATGAGGAGTTCCCAATAACATATTCGCATCCAGGTGCTGATATAACGTATGCCGCTCATCTTTTGCAGTGGGCTAGTTTCTGAACCTTAGCAGTCATAACATTTACAAGTGGCAATCTGATGCTCGTCGAGAAGCACTTCGCCGTACCCGTGCCACCTCTTTAATCGCGCCAGCAATAAATGTCGATTCAGCTTTTCAGCATATTCACGAACCGGGAGGATTCAGGAGGAACTACCTTCTGTTGCGTGCAAATGAACAAGGTATAGAAGTGCCTCCCATGTCGAACCACTTCATCGATTTCCTGTACATCTTCGGCCATTTTGTATGTGTCGCAATTTCTCTCATCTACTCCATAGGCTCATAGAATGTCCAGGGCGGAGAAGATCTTGAGGAGGACGAAGATGAAGAAATGGATGAAGATTTCCTTACACCAAAGCCCCATCCACTTTCCCCTGCTGAAGCAGGCTTGCGTGGTGTCCAATCTGGACTAGCTCAACGGCCTTTCGATGCGTCGAAGCCACACGAGCATCGCCCTCTACTGCCTCGTGACACTTCCAGAAGCCTGAGCAGACTGAGAAGACGGCAGCGATCAGCGAGTGGGAAGTACGGGGACGCGACTGTCACTCAGGCCGTTCTCATGGTGTGTGAATTCTACCATCCCCGAACTTGCGCAGCTGAAACGGGCTTCCATAGTTGCTCAAATCATTCATCGGAACTGGAATCCTTTTCCTCGGAAAGGCGTATGTAGCCATTGACGGAGGATCTGTATGAATCTAACTCCCACCGCAGATTCTATAATGGAGGGTTGTTGTTCTCCATCCTCACTCTCACGTTTATTGCTGCTATCTCGCTCTACTCATTCATCCTACTGATAAAGACCAAATTCGTGGTATCGGGAAGTTTCGGTGGTACGTGACCCTCTCGTGACTCTGCTTGGTCACACTCAGCATCTTTGCCAAAGACCTCGGCGGGATTCTCTACGGAAGGTGGTTGCGAGTTGCTATCCTTACGTCTATCGTGATATCACAACTCGGATTCGTCTCTGCCTATACCATCTTCATCGCGAGCAATTTCCAAGCGGTAATCATGGCCGTTTCCAACTGTCGTCACTTCATACCCATGAAGTATCTCATTATGGTGCAGGCGATTGTTTTATGCCCATTGTCACTGGTCCGAAACCTTGCGAGGCTCTCAGTGACGGCCCTGATTGCTGATGCATTCATCTTGGTTGGATTGATTTACATCGGATCAAATGAGGTTGCGGTAATAGCTGAGCGTGGAATTGCCGACGTTGCTATGTTCAATCCTAAGGACTTCCCGCTCCTTATTGGGTAAGTATGGATTGGATGCACTCCACGGGGTAATAGCTAACAAATGACGCCCGATGTAGGACTTCTGTCTTCGCTTTCGAAGGTATCGGATTGGTCAGTTGCTCCATCATCCCCCGTAAGAGTACGGGTGATGACGTTCATCAGGTTGTCCCGATCACTGATTCGATGAGGGAACCTCGAAAGTTTCCAGCGGTTCTGAGCGGAGTGATGATTTTTCTCCTATGTCAGTTCCCTTGCCAGGCCCGACTTATGCGATCCATTAACTCATACTCCCCTTTTCACACCCACAGTCTTATTTGGCGGTGCTGGCGTCCTTTCATATGCGGCTTATGGGTCGTCTGTCCAAACAGTTATACTAGTCAATCTACCACAAGATCAAAAGTTTGTTCAAGTTGTTCAATTCCTTTACGCATCGGCGATTCTTTTATCTGTCCCATTACAACTTTTCCCCGCCGTGCGTATTATGGAGAATTGGCTCTTCACTAAGAGCGGGAAAACAAGCTTGAGGGTTAAGTGGAGGAAGAACGTTTTTAGATTTGCCACTGTTTTCGGCTGTTATGTCGTTGCATGGCTTGGTGCCGCCGATTTGGATAAATTCGTCAGCTTTATTGGATCGTTCGCTTGGCAAGTGATATCATTGGCCTTTGCCTCGCCGTTCATTGATCGTATCCTTGCAGCATTCCATTATGCTATGTGTATCCTGCAATGTTACATTACAAGGCGTGCGCTCGCACAAGGTGGGCCAGGGCAGGGGATATTGCTCTTCTGGTATTTGGATTGGTAGCTACCGTGTTCACGACTTGGCAGACTATTCACGTACGTGCGGCCCTACAACAATGCATGTGGCTTTTTACTCATCAAATCTTGTGTTCCAGCTAATGATGGAGCCTGCACATGGAGAAGATCCTCAAATCAGATACTGCCAACCCGCATCCCCTGGGGATTCTACTCCACTTCGGTTACTTTTTGAACGTTTGGGGATTGTGTAATGGTTTTAGGGGTGCGGGCATCATTTTTGTATATGTTGCCACCCATTTTCGCTCTGGAAAGTCTGGCGGGCAATGTCGCCTTATGGAATACTACCTACATCGTTTTGCATTTCAAATAAAAGAAAGGCGCTATCATAATGGAAATGTGCCTTACAGCGTCCTAACTGATCTGTCGTCGCTGTTGGTTTGAGAAACGTTTGATTCGCTACTGGTGAGCAAATGCACCAGCCGACGCGATTCGCAATCGTCTAAGCCGGCAGTTGTGCACAATTGTTGTAGTGTTTCCGCTTCTATTTTAGAAGGCTTTGGCTGATTGTTGAGATCTGGTTTAGATGATGGCTCGTCTCCGGGGAATAAATGTTTAGAGAAATAAGCTGTTCGCCGAACGGAACCTTCCAGGAGTCCATGCAATGTATGGAGGGACGCCTTGAGATGTTCATCCGATTTAGATATTTGTTTTTCCCATGCAAGGAAAGCTTGGGAGAGTAATTTGACGAAAGGGTGGCCACGGCTTCTTGCGGAGGATGACTTGAGCAATGAAGAGACAGCGTCTGCATCAAAAGTGAGCAACATCGCACTTGGATAGTTGTACTTGTACCTCTAGGATGACCCGAGAAGATGAATGCCTCTGCAATGGAAGCAGAAAGCGTGGGATGAGACAAGGCCCGTGAAGCGAGATGATAAGCTTGGTCCTTGGAGCCAGATCGGATGGCGCTCCTTATGGCAATGTCAAAGAGTTCCTTTTCCCGGGCAGAGCTGTTGCCTGAGACAATAATATTACCACCTCTTACACCGTCCAAGTAGGCAAGGCACCATGAAAGAGCGAGATGGTAATCCTTTTTGAGATAGGCTGCATGGGCGGATGCATCTAATGCATCCCCCGAATCTAAGCTCGCGCGCAGTCGATTACAATGATCTAGTTATAATATACCTAGGCTGTGAAACCCCAAGAGCTGCGTGGCAGGAAGAATAGGGACATCTTCTAGCTTGCAATCGAACCATGAATGATTGAGAGAAACCAGTTCGTTTTTGTAACTCTCCTTGCTCTGCTGGAATGCGCGATCAATGCGCAGTTCCCTCGCGCTCGGCCCACTGTTCTCCTCATCGCTGTCTGCAAAGTCACCCAGCGGAAATTCCATCGCAACGAGCCTGCGGGGTTGTTGAGTCGTAAAATTGTTGTTGCGAGAAAAGTGAGTCAAAATATTGCTACATTGATGCGGAATCGCAAGCGGCGATGCCAAAAGATTTTCAAATTTGCATCCGTCACCAAAACGTAGAGACACTTTTCATCAGACTGGGCTTAAGGTTCTGTTCTCCCAACGTTCCACTTGACGAGGGTTAAGTATTTAGACTACGTGCATGAAGCTAGACTTGCTGCTTTTATTCCTCACTCCTGTGTTCACCGTGCTCGCTGAACCACTTCCTCATGGAAGTTTGGAGAATGGGGGCTTCATTGTTGGGAGACAGGGCGGCCCCGGTCCCGGACAGTCTTCAAAGCCTGGAGATGTAACGTCATCATTGACGTCGACGTCAGAAACACCGACTACACCAACTACAACTGCTACGTCTTCCGCCCAGCCAACGACGACCCAGCAGCCGACAAGCTCAAGCTCGCCCTCTACTACCTCCCCGACATCTTCCCCCTCCTCTTCTTCTTCATCGTCACCTCCCTCCTCTACTTCGGTTGCATCTTCAACGACTCCTAGAGCACTCACCACTTCCTCGTCTCCACCTACGACGACAGCGCCATCTGTCACAACCGTCACATCATCCGTTTCTAATTCTCAATCAACGACGACTACAAGCTCTTCGCCATCAAGTACGAGCACAGGCTCATCGGACTCTGGTGGGCTCGGAAAGTCTACTATTATTGCACTATCGGTCGCTGGCGCTGTTGGCGCTCTCGCAATTCTTGGTTTCATCATATGGAAGCTAAAGCGAAAGCGTTTCTCGGACTTTGACGATGATGGTCAGTATTCTATTCAAGCCTTTTCCATGACACATCACCAATCAGTGCGACAATGAACATCAGACAACGCCATCAAATGGCCCGATCTTGATGGCGCGGCGGCGATGCATCCGCTACCAGCACGACCAACGGGTCGTGCAGGTGTGGAAACCAGTGCACTTGACCGTTCCGAAAATGACGCGTTCGACTCGCGCAGTTTCGCCGAAAATTCCTTGACGAACCTTGTGCATCCGGCCCCTGCCCCATACTCGTTGCCAGCTCCCGATGTTCCGCCGTCCCAGCAATACCACGATGATCCCGCAGCTTTTGGGGGTCAATATCCGCAGCAACCTGAAGGTTACTATGACCCATATCGAGGTCCCGTGCCGAAATCGATGACCTTACCTCCCGAGGATCAATACGGAAGGAAAAGTCCCGGGCCGTATAACGCGTATGAAGGTGGTCGCACGGGAAGTCCTGGCCCCCAACCTCCGTACGGGGGAGGCATCGGTGTTGGACGCGTACCATCTCCTGGACCGCAAGCAGCGTATGCGGGTCGTACGCCATCTCCTGGTCCCCAGAATGCTTACGGATCCGGGATCCCTCGGACAACATCTCCTGGCCCTTACGGAGCATTTGATGAAGATCCATATGGAGGCACGGATCAGCATACAATGGAGCAACACCATCAGCAACAGACTCAAGGGCGAAACGAAAACTTTGGCTCTGCAGGTTGACGCGCATATCCTTTTCCTTCCACCTGGGACTCTTCAGAGCGATCCAAATTTTGGGAGGCATTTTGTTTCTTGTAATGGATTAGCATTCAGAGCGTTCATTCCTAAGTTTTATAGTCAATGTAACCCGTCTTAATTGCCCTCAGCCATGCTCATGACTTGCAGTGGATTGTGAGGCCTGGAGTTCTCCTTTCCTACCATCCACTCTGCCTAACCCATTTGGTCCCTCATTTCGTTGTACTTATCTCTTGGTCGAAGGCGGGCGATGCGCTGAAATGAAATGAAACCTATTCCCCTTATTTTTGTGTATTTATACCGGTGGGTGCGGCTTGCAAGTTGGACAAGCAACGACCACCGCCCATTATATTTAATGCCAGGGGGAAAGAAAAATATAAAGAAATATCTCAGAGTACGTAGATGCCTCTCCACAGCTTCCCCCGTTAACTGGCCCGTAGCCAAGGCTCCCAGGTAGCCGTAAGGTTGAGGGACCTGGAGTTTGGGTGACGTGCATAAAGGTGGGCTTAGGACCCCTCGTAAGTATCATAACGTGGCTCACGAGCTTCCCTCATGGGTTCAGGGTAAAGAGAGGCAGGCGGTGGGTGAAGTGTATGACATATTTGAGTCGGCAAGCATGCGATGTCGATCCGAGAGTTCTTCACTCATAAAAGGAATCTCAGCTAGCAGAGAGACTATATCCCGTTTCCAACGCTGCTGAGACAAGCGACGACGACGATGTCATCGACACAGAGGACATCGAAGCCGCGATGGATCGAGAACTGGAAGAGCTAAAGCGACCTCGGTCTGGGGAATCTCGGTTTGGTTCGTCTGATTAATGCAAGAAATAAAGACTTCACTTCCCACTTCTGTCCATCAGTGAATTGCAAAGTGGATGCTATCTGCCGTGAATACCACATACATGCATCCTTCGGTCGGTTTCTGATTGATCCCCGTGGTTTGTCTACGGCGCAGTGATTTTTATTGCGATAAAGCCGCCTATCGATCCCGTACGACTCGTCTGGACATATCTGTCTGAGGTGGAACAAACTGGAGTTACCAGAACGAGGTCTGCATTTACTTTTGGAAGGGGTTGTTCACTTTCTTAAGTGTCTTGTGAGGCAAGGTCGGCCCAACGTTATGCCCCCGTCTCCGACTCTTGTGCTGCCACCATTGAAGACATCTTAAACTTGGCGAAACGCCTTTTCCCGCCCCACTTTGAGTCTGATTCACCTGGTCCCATCAAGGTTCTATTCCTTCGACATCCTTTCTCTGCGCTCATACGCCTCTGTCCAGTATAAAATTATCATCACATCACGAAATCACACCGGCGTTGACAAAGGAGAGCTTATCCGGGCTCTCGCAGCATGTGTCCCAAAAGATCGCGGTCACTCTGTAGATCTTGACAATCCTGACCTAGTCATCCTCGTGGAGCTATATGCTGTTCGTCGTTCTGACCCTCCTGCTTGCATTGATACATCCTGATATTCTCATCAATTCAGTTCGTCTGTGGCATCGGGATCGTCCCAGACTACTATCGATTCAAAAGATTTAATGCTGTTGCCGTCGGGGAGAACTACAGAAAGGGAGTGGACGATATAAAACCTCGTCAGCTGGAGGCGTCCTGAACCTTACCAATCCCCCCGCCTGGCTTTATGTCTATAGTCAACTGTCGAATACAGCGCCCATTTATCCTAATTCTGCCTCTCCCTCGCACAATTGTCATGATTGCCGTTATTAAGTTCTTCCACAAAAAGTCTCCTCGTGTTCGGTGCTATCTTTTGATGGTTCTGTCCAGTTCCTGGCCGGGAAGAGTCCTGGATGTTACTATCGCTGTGATCCACACTCCGCTCTGCACCATATCCAACTATGATGCATCATAGGCCTCCAGTCCTTCCCTACCTGATCGAAACGTCCTCGATCTTGTTTGTTGGTTCACTGTTGAGAAAACAATAGGGTGGGGGCAACTGAAAATAGGTTCTTTTGGCATTTCCCTTGCACAGGTGTCAACCCCGGTCCCTCATTAGGCCGCGGATTCTACTACCTGCACAATGCTGCCCGACGTGCCACTGCGTGGAGCGCCTAGGTGCACGAACCACCATTTATGATTTATCGCTGACGAGCCTGCTATGTAACAATGATGGCGGTGCCGCTGCGGAAGCGGCACATGCATCCTCTTAGGCAAGGCTGTTGCGGACCAGCCAGTTCGGAGGACGTGCCGCTCATTCAACGTATCCTCGACCTTGGTATCTGTCATCGTTGATATCACAGAGGCAGCGGGAACTGGGCGCGTTGCCAACTCGAGCATTTAAGCTTGTGTTTTGTCCTGTTCCTAGTGACTGTATTGATTATCGGGACTGTGGAAGCTGTGGATCTCCTCCACTCACTAGTGCCTTAATTCTCACTGATTTTGTATTGTTCATGACGGTGTCAGTCGTGAGCACCTAAAGCATTTTCCTCCTTTCTACGTGGCCGTTGTTCACACGCCCCCCTTCAAGAATCTGCCGCATTGCACTATCACCAGTGAAATACATGTTTCGAGGTCGGTTTCCAACAGTTTACGCCTGGAGCACCGTTGTCACTCTTGCTTTCCTCATCAGCTCTTAGTTTCCCCCACCTCTCATTAGAAGAGCGGCTCTAATCCTTTTGTCGCGGCTCATCTAGCTGCCGCTATCGTTTTTATGGCCGATGTAGTATGCAAATATAACAGACAGCCTAGTTGCCGCACCAACTAACTCCTGTCTCTTGCATAGTCGATAACGTACTACACCCTTGAAGTTTGATTCATGAGATGACGCTGCTCCTAGATCGTTACGGTGATCCTCGGGTCAAGATTAAACCCTATACGAGGCGTGTTCAGGACTAATTCTATCTGTATCCGTGGGGACATTTGAGATATCCTGTTACTCGACGATGTCACCAGGACGCAGTATCGCTCCCCATTGCTGTGACTCGATTGATCCGTAGATGTGATGCTGCCTTACAACCCCAGTTGACGTCCATGCCCTCACTCGTTGTACGTCCTGCTGTGGACTCGTTGCGCATCGACGATAAAGTGTACGCAATCCGAGCGCAAGCTAAATCAAAAAAGCCTATGCACATGGCCAGGCAGACTACTTTGTCATAAGGTTCTCGGCCGGTTGTGCACCCTCGACGCGTGGGCAAGTAGTGTTCCCGAAATATATATATGAGATGCGTACTTATACCGAGGGCCGGCTCCTCGAGCTTCGCCTTCCCCAGGGATCCTACGGTGAGACTTGGGAGCTAATATCGACAAGATATCCCCATGTTGCGAATCTGCGAACCAGTGGCATAGTCGGGGTACAAGTGATGGAGCAATTGGTTGAAGAAATGACTGACGCCACGTATCGCGGCAATTTCTTATTGGGGATATCGGAAGCTGCGGCCACTCCTTTCAGGAAGGGAAAATGGGAAGTCACCTACGAAACATAGATCGGAGATCAAGGACGGACCTAGAAGGGAAGTGGGTGGAAGTCGTGCGATTAGGCTGAGTTTGGAGACCTTTGAGAGATAACGATGGAGTTCCTTGAGGACCCGTGAGAAGAGCTCATTTGCAATTTTAGAGGACCTCATTCACGGATCGGCAGGACCCGCTACGGAGCCGCGGGAATTCTTCCAACTCTTTGAGAGGCATCGAAGAATACTGCCATGCAGGGTAATGCTTGCTCGAGAATATTCGTCCGCTATGCCTCATCCACACGAGGGCCATTTCGTACGCCGAAACCAAACTTCGCCCGAGTACTCAACAACCCATCTGCACCTCACCCCTCACCTTCCTCCGCGCCCTCTCCCGCTTTTCCACCCGCTGAACCGAATACGCACTACCGCGTCACTCTTCACCGCTCCGCTATTGGCCTCCCTAAACAAATCTCACGGACGCTGGAAGCTCTTGGATTACACAAACGAATGCAAACAGTCTTCCATGAGCATTCACCAGACATAGCGGGGAAATTACTCCAAGTGAAGGAACTAGTCCAAGTCGCGAACGTCCCTGCGGATGCGGTTCGATCAGCTAGGGAGTTACGAGAGGAGCGGAGAGCAGTTCGTGGATACGATGTCGTACAGCGACGGCCATACGGTAACGGTCACTTAACGTTAGTGCAAGCCGTACAAGAACAGAGACTGGCAAGCCACAGGAAGGAGAAAGCACGGCGTCTAGGAGAAACACAAACCTCCACAGACCCCTCGATCACTGCGACATAATAATTCCTGCGTGATCTTCCAGGTCGATCGGAACTTTCAGGCCTCCAAGATTTGATATATTGTGCGGTAGAGAATGAGCGTACATGCCTATTAGAAGCGTACAAATTGAAAGTGGAACGTTTACGCCAAAATTAAGCAGACGGAATAGAGTGTAACGTAGGCATGTCATAATGGGTGATGTAAACAAGTGTGGAAGGAGTTGGAGTTGAGAAAACATGGACGGCAGGTGCAAGCTCGGAACTCCCTGCGAAATTAGAAAAGTGGGAACATGGATGTGAAAGCACGCGCCAGCGCGACCTCAGCATTGGTCAACCTTGGGGACAAATGAGAACTGAAATTGCGAAGTCGAAGGGAACACAAGCGCACCAGCCGATTTTTCGGTTTACTGTAACCAGTTTCACTCCATAGCGTTAGGTTGGGGTCTGAATAAGTAATAACGTCAGAAATGACGGATCACCATTACGTTGGCACTTACTCGTGTACACATTTATGTGATCGTTGATGTACTTCGCTGTCGGATAGTCTGTCGGGTTTAAGGTAAGAATATTTCAAAGTCTCAAATGAGAACTCACTTGGAGGATCACAAGTCACCGAGTCCTTCAATCCTTTACGCTGCCAAACTCGCACGTAGTCGACTTTCATCTCAGCAGGAAATGTCATCGCAGCCACATCAACCTTCTGGAACGACTCTAGAGGAAGAATTGTCTGTGTTAGAAACACCCCAACACCAAGAAATATTACGAACCTGAGACGGCCAAGTTAAGAACCATTGCCTAGAAACAACAAATATGAGCGCTGTGCAAAACATGAGCTTGGTGGAGACAACGGACCATCGGCTCTTCCGGAATGATACGATCTGAGATGTTCACTGTTGGATCTGCGCTAAATGTGAGTGCGTCGATTGCGAACACAGGTTGATCTGCGATCCAGGCGATGTGTCCATCCTGGCGGTTGTTCGGATCCGACCAGAACTCCACCCCAAACTTAGTGAACTGTGCTCCACCTAGTTCAAAGGCTGTGTCATTCAAATCCGTCAGAGCAGAGATAGCCTGTTGGCTGGACAAGAACTTGTGGGTTGGAATACACATAACAATGATAAAGCATTGCGTACAGAGCAGAACCACTGCCAAAAGCAAATTAGGCCAATCAATACGCTGCAGAAGCGGTGGGAAAAACACATACCGATAAGTATTCAACTTTGTACGCTGGGGGTTGTAGATTGTAACATCCGCGGAAGTGTTGGGGAAATAGTAGAGATTGTTGAAGGGTGCCAACTGAACGGATTGCGTGACACGGCCACCATAACCCTCCTTGTTCTTCTGAGCCTCAAAAATGTCAATTTCAGGGGCCGCCCGCCCTTTAGTATTGACAGGACCGGGGTGATCTTCCCCAGGACATGTGCATGCACTGGTAACAATGAAGCAGGTTCAGCGATAAGGAGTAAGGGATGGGAGAACGGCTCACGAGAGGCGTTGGCCAGGCTGCCAAGAGAGGTTATAGTTGTATTTCTTGTTGCCACCTGCTGTGGCCGCAATGGCTGGTTCTCCATTTAGAGTTTGGTTGGGAAGGGTACCAACATCGCAAGTGTCGTAACTACCTAAGGTATATCATTCTGATGATAGGGGAAATGTGCAGCTGACTCACGAATACGGCCAGAGACCATCTGCGGTTGCTCCGTACCCTGGTCTTCCAAGGTTGCCCATCATCCAGACCTAGATTGCCATAATCAGTTTGGGTCCTGCATCCCTAAAAGGAAATACGAACACCAGGCCACTGTCGAGAATGAAAGTTAGTTGGCTGCAGCAAAAACTCAGAATGAAAAGCCTACATATCCAGACACATCCGGAGCTCCAGGAAAGATGACGCTAACTGTAGAGGCTTAAATCAGCCAACTAATACTGAAATGCATGTCGTAACTCTACCTTCCATATACCCGGTGGTGAAACAGAATTTATTCCAACTTTGAATCATTCCGGACTTGAATATCCTTCCGTGGGACTCCTGATCCTCAATAACGATAACAAGGGCACCGTCTCGTGTTGTCACTTGGCCTGGATCGTACCACTCCAGATCTCCAGTGGCCCAGTACTGTGGGAGCATGAACCTATTAGTAAAACCATAAGAAATAGAACCCATGACTTGCCCAAAGATCGACCGCCTCCCAAAAGGGGTCATCTCCAGGGTAGAATGAACGCCCAGGCGTCTCAAACTCATCCGAAAAGACCAGCTCATACTCCTGTCCGTCGACACCAATGCGAGTATAAACGTCCTTCGGAGTAACAGGGTCAATTGCGCTTGGGAGCAACGTCAGAGCAGGGATCTGGCCTGTCCCGTTGAAATGAAAGCTTTCCCATGGCCGCTTCATCGTAAAATCCATTACGATTGGGTAGACAGCGAACAAGGTAAGAAGGGCAATAAGCAACAAAATGATCATTGCAATGTTGATCAATCCCCGCCACGAAAACCCCCCAACTTCGAGGTTGCGCTGGCCCGGCTCATGAATGAAATCATCATCATCTGCCGGACCACCCAGTCTCTCATAGGGACCATATTGATCGATTGAAAGGAATTTGGCTCGAGGGTCGGCGTCGGACTTGTAAGGGAGAAATGCGGCAGTGGACTGAGCGTATTTGGAATCAGTCATGAACGACAAAACTGAGCCCACGTTGGATCCAGTTGAGAAGCGACTGTGTGGCGGGGCAAGACTCATTACGCGACTAGAACTTCTTGAATTTACGGTGGAAGGTGCGGATGGAGGCGGTGCCTTGAACATGACCTGGGGGATTTATGAATAAAAAAAGGAGTTTAGAGTGACTACGCTTAAAAGCGCGTCAAAAACACTTACAGGATAAGGACTATAACCCCCGCCAACATCGCCGGCCATAATCCCTTTGATGTGTTCACGGTCAGCATGACTGCTGGCTGAACTTTCATCCGATATCGGTGGTTCTGAGCGGTCTGCGGCAGCCCCCCATGATGGAGAGCCCCCCCGCGCAATGGGGCCACGATCACCTACGGATAGACCACCGGCGTGGGGGTTCAATGGAGAAGAGACATATTTTGGGAGAAGACGAGCGTCAGGAAGCGGAGACTCAGAGCCGGCCGGAGAAGGAGGTAACGGGTCTCTAAACGGGGATGACTCCCTTTGCCTTGACGAAGGCGTGGATGGTCTCTCAAATGGGTCGGACGGGTCTGGGTTCGGGCGAGACATAATAATGGAGAAAGAGTCGAAGACCGCCGATAGTGGGAAGTCGAAGAGTGAGCAATTCTCAATGAGGCAAAGGTAGGGACGGTGGGATGGTGTAAGAGAGAGGCGCAGGAATACTGCTTCACAGACGATCAACAAGCAATCCAAGTGTTTATTCGAATTTTCCAACGACAGGCAAGGACAGGAAGGGATTTATGGTGAATGAGTAGTTCGGCAATCCCCCCGTGTACATCATCTTGCATCCGTAACGACGACTCCGCAGCAACGCTACGAGTATGGCTGAGAACGTGGATAGGACTCGGCCCAGTTGTATGAGCCATCTTAGTAGCACAATCGGCTCTAGTGCAGCGCTTGACGAGTGGTTACTTTGCTCAAAGTGCCAGGCATTCTCATAGGCTTATTTCTATATGTTCCAGCGACGAGAGGATTTGTCTGTTCATCATCCAAATATCTTTATTTTCAGCTTGAATACACAGGGATGGGGAATTGCAAACGAAAAGTTTTACCATCAACATGTCAAGGCTGCCTATCGTTTCATTAGGCCAATCTGCTGCTTATGAGTCATGGGTCATGTCCTCGACCAAGTTGAGGAAATACACAATCTCGGACTACCAATCGACCGTAATGTGCCAACAGCATCTCTCCTAGTCTGGTATCGAGGTTCAGCCTAAAGTAGTCTACGTTAAAGTGTCGGGTCCCAGACGCTGGACTCTCCTTCCTTGGCGACAGCTCGATCGCGCAAGGCGTAGAGCCTTGCCAAGTAGTCATCTTTCCCAACATACGCGCCGCACAATCGTCTCTTCCCTGTAAATTCGGCTCGTCCATGAAGGACTCTATGGTTATCGATGACTTGGGGAATGTTGTTCCCTTGTCAGGCTGACTATGGCAGACTGCGTCACTGCTGCACACACCTACAACGGTCCCTGGCTGCAACTGAAACCAGTATTCAGAGTCAGGACTCGAAAGAACCCGATCCCAACTGGCAAGGGCACCATACCTGCACAGCGGTCAGAATATTAGATAGCCGGATTACGGCAACGCACACGTACCAAGGTGCCACATCCTCAGGTGCCATATGCTTGATCACGCTTCGGTCGTCATTATTATATCGAATCATGGAAGGTTCCCCACCCCGAGTGGTAATGATGGGGTAGCCTTCCCCTATCACTGTATATTTGTAGAGCGCATCACCCACAGCGTGCGTCGGGACACGTGTCCTCATCAGGATTTCGAAGTCTTCGGGATGCTTCTCCTGCAGGATGGAGGCTGCGCGGAACCCATCAACAAGCAGAGATTCCCCACCCGATCCCTCTGTATGCGATAGGAGGTGGAAGATTTGAAGTCCGCACGGATCAGTCTAAAAATGGTTGTTAGAAGACGGTTGTATAGCGGTAGTTGGACGAACAAAGTAAGTGGTGTCGGTGTGTGCTTTGAGTGCCATGTCAGTATATGCAGTGTCCCCATGTGCCAAATCGGGGCTGAACTCCCAAAAGCCACCATCTACATGAATACAGGTTAATACTGAGCCGTTACCCCACTGCTCAAGCGGTCGTACAATGAGTCTCCCGAATAAAAGCGATTCGTCTGATAAGTTCCTCAGTAAGTTTTGGATCTACGGGGACACCATTGACAAGGCAAAACCCATAACGGTGCTGGAGTATTAACTTCAGAAGCATGAGTGGGGACATAGGTGGTCGAGAAACTCACGACATTTTCTAACCATTCCAAAACAGCATCTTCGGAGCCGATAACTGCTTCATAGTCCACAGAAGGGGGCGACTTCCCAATCGTCGATGACCAGTATTGTTTTCCAAGTGGGGAAAGGCTTTGAAAATGGTGAGTTTGATTCATTGTGAGAACTGCAATCTCGACCACCTCGTTCCTGCAGGATGTAGGGTTGATGTCGAGGGTGGACACCCACTTAAGCCTCCCTCAAGCCACTCCCAGGGGTAGACGGATTCATGTATTTTAACATCTGGGCGCTCATCGTGCCCTAAAACCTTGCTCAATGGGCGGAACCCTGTAATCTGTCAAATACCCCTCACAGATGACTTTTAATCCTTCCCGTGTGGCCGTCACATCTGGGCGAGGTTGAATTACTGCTCACGATGGGGAATCTAGGTCTCACCTTGAAGAGATTGATCTAGAAGGTCAAATGTGTTTACCAGGCGTTGACGGGTAATTGGATGAAAGCATTCCGGACACCTGCAGTGATCCCGCAGCCACATATTATTGCTAAGGAGTATCAATAAACAATACTCCCAGCTAGTAGAATACAGGACTTAACCATACAATACCGACTTGGCCCCATTCCATTCTATGATCACTTCTTTATCACCCCTTATCACATTCTTGGGGAGAGAAGCCACAGTGGAACTCAAGCCACGATTACATTTTAGTGATAGACCATGGGCCTTTGAGGACTGCACCTGATGTGGCAATCGAGAACGAAGGGACAAGGGCCCGATGCAACGCACAAATCCAAAAGATCGGGACTGGTGGCAATGATATCGCCTTAGAAACCCACTAAATAAAGCCATGGGCACCGTAGGGAGTCTCGTCGAACAACTGATGATTCGACCGTTAGTTTCCAAATCAGTCCGGCTCGTGACGCTCATTGAGTCGTTCGGTTTTATCGGAAGTTTTTGGCTCAATTCAGCTTTCGACAGATAAAAATGTCCATTCGTCAATCCACAACTCTTCTGCGCAGTGCGGTGCGCTCTGTAGCAAGCGGAACATGCCCTGCGGCTCGTCGTTACTCCGTTTTGGCACGCTCTGCTGTGGTGGCTCCCAGCACAATTTTTAGAGTCAGTGTGTTCATACCTTCCGAAGTGCCTTTTCTGAGAGTGAAGCTAGACTCCCTCGAGAGGCTTCAAAACTCTTGATTTTGCTGGGACGAAGGAGATTGTGTATGAACGTTCAGACTGGCCCCTTCCCAAACTGCATGAGTATCTGAAGAACGACACCTTGGCTTTGATTGGGTATGGATCGCAAGGACATGGTCAGGGTCTTAACGCGCGTGATAATGGCCTCAATGTTATTATCGGTGTGCGGAAGGACGGGGAGAGCTGGCGTCAAGCCGTTCAGGATGGTTGGGTACGAGTTCACCTTTAAATAAGGACATCCCAAATTTAACTCATCCTGCTAGGTGCCTGGCGAGACTCTCTTCCCGATAGAAGAAGCAATCCAGAAGGGCACCATCATTATGAACCTTCTTTCTGACGCTGCACAAGCCCAAACATGGCCTGAAATCAAGCCTCTTATTACCAAGGGGAAGACTCTCTACTTCTCCCATGGATTCTCCGTCGTTTTCAAGGAGGACACGAAAGTTATCCCTCCAGCCGACGTAGATGTCATCTTGGTTGCCCCTAAGGGATCCGGGCGCACGGTTCGGACGCTGTTCAAGGAGGGACGTGGTATCAACGGTAGCATTGCTGTCTGGCAGGATGTCTCAGGAAAAGCCCTGGAGAAAGCTCGCGCCCTTGCTGTTGCCGTCGGTACTGGATACGCATACGAAACAACCTTTGAGAAGGAGGTGTATTCTGATCTTTATGGTGAGCGCGGTGTGGTATGTGGTGTCATAATGCCAAAATCTTTTGTCATTTTGCTGAAGCATATATTCATGCTTTTCACAGCTCATGGGTGGCATCCGTATGTCTCTCTTATGTCGTTTTTCTGGTCGCTGATGAATGGTTTAGAGGGGATGTTCCGTGCCCAATATGAGGTTCTGCGGAGAAATGGACACTCTCCTTCAGAGGCTTTCAATGAAACTGTCGAGGAGGCAACTCAAAGCCTCTTCCCGTTGATCGGTGCATATGGGTATGTCACTATGCTCTGACTCCATATACATACTAATGTCTGTCCCTAGCATGGTAAATTTCTCCAACCATCACTGGGGTGCCTTATGTTAATTGATTATTTACCTTTCACGCTGCTAGGATTACATGTATAACGTGAGTCTTTGGTTGGAGCACGTTTACTGGGTTTTAATATGAATTTGTGTCATCAGGCATGCTCGACAACGGCGCGCCGCGGTGCTTTGGACTGGGCTCCGATTTTCGAGAAAGCTAATCTTCCTGTCTTCGAAGCGCTGTACGAGTCTGTGAAGAACGGCACCGAGACCCGCAAAGCGCTCGAATTCAATGGGCGGAAGACCTACCGGCAGGATCTTGCTAAAGAGCTTGAGGAGATTAACAATCAGGAAATTTGGCGCGCAGGTTTGTGATTTTTTTGCTGCCCAAAACAATTGAAACTAACGTCTGCCTAGGTCGCACGGTTCGCACACTTCGGCCAGAATACAAGGAATAGATGGGTCTTGGTTGTTCGCCGCCTTGCTCCAAAAAGGAGTCTTCGGACTTCGCCATCTACTTGCTGGTCTGTTATATATACATGCAACCAATTCCAAGGATGAATCATATGATATTTACTGAGATGCTGGAAACTTATGCCTGAGCGACTGATAATATGGGGGTGGGCAATCCAGCCTTTAACGGTGATAGCGCTGGAGTCGTCTTTAGCGGAGGTGTCGAACTTGTTGTCGAATGGGATATTTAGTATCGGTCATCGTTTCACTCGAGCATGATCAGACAAGGTATATCCTTGTCCAAGACGATATCCCTAAGACCTAGGAGGTGACATCGCCAGCCTCAGCATCTCAATCCAGGCCGATGATGGTGCCTACATAGAATTAGAACGAAGTCGTAAGAATGAAGTTATATTATAAAGTGAAGTCTTGAGACAAAAGAACATGAGCAAGTCAACCCAACTTGTGGAGACTAGGGGAGCACATCCAAGGCGTGAAGTCAATATCCGGGTGTGCGCGCAGTCACCATGAATTCTGCCATCATTTCTCGTCTGGTTGCTCACGCACAAGCAGAGAATTTTCTAGAGCCTCGTCCTTGACTTATCGAAGTCAAGGATGAGGCATGGCATCAACAGGACCCAGGGAATAATTCTCTGCTTGTGCGTGAGCAACCAGACGAGAAATGATGGGTTAGGGTCCTGGTGTTCTTCGCTATGTTACCCATGTGATACTGCACTCCACATTTGGATGTATGAGAAGTGCCTGGCTCCGGACCCTCAATACAGATCAGTAAAATGCAATTAGCAGGCTGATTAAAAGTTAAGAGGCGGGAAGAGTGGCGGGTTCTGCCGCATCGGGCGTCTTATCCTTACATAACATTTGGATTCATTGCGGAATGAGCATTCCATGAGATTGATTGTGTAAGCGCCCCCGAGATAGAGCTACACCAAATACTGTCGCTGGATCGACTTGAGAACAAAGCCCTCTAATCCGCCACATAACCACAATTCTTGAACACTGCTTCCTATGGCTTTCACTCTGTACTTCCGTTCCGTTCCGTCCTTGGGTATGCTAACTTGCACGCTTCCATTGTCCATCCCTACTTTGACATACCAGCCTGGTTGGACAGTAAGCTCACCGTTGATACCACCTGCACCTCGCGTGCCTCCTTGGGCGAATTGTTTCGTAAGGTCTACGACAAGCTCGGGGCACTCTAGGCATATCAGCCCGTTATTGATAGCGTTTCGTTTGAAAATGTCACCGAAAGATCCTGCAATGACGAGATTGACACCGGCTGATTTTAGGGCTGTCGCCGCCTGCTCGCGCGACGACCCTGTACCGAAATTATATCCAGATACAAGGACAACACCTGGTTTGCCGTCTGGAGAGGTAGGGTTGAGCGAAGGCACAATGGAAGCGACGGTTCCGGCAAATGTGGTATCGTAATTTTCCATGACAACCTCTGCTTGACGCTCGAGGGTGATGTCATCTTGGTATGTATACTTGCCTGGATATATAGCGTCAGTGTTGAGATTGTCCTGGGGGGCGAATAAGAGAGGACCCTCAAAAACCCGGGGGAAAGAGTCGACTAAGGGCTCCACGGAGGTATCATCGGGAGCGGGAGAGGAAACGGAAGAGTGAGAATACGAAGGAGGATTAGCTGCGGACGACTGTGATTCGGCTGGTCCAGAGATGTAGCCGTTGATGGCGCTAGCTGCCACAACGGCGGGGCTGGCAAGGTAGGCTTGCGCCTTGGGACTCCCCATGCGACCCTTGTAATTGCGATTCGTTGCACTGATCCCAGTTTCCCCCTCTTCCAAGAGGCCGGTGCCTAATCCAATGCAAGGCCCACATCCTGCTGGTAAGACCTTCGCACCAGCTGCTACCAGAGCTTGCCAGTCTCCGGAGTTCTCTGATTCCTGCTGAACAACGGAGCTTGCGGCGGCAACGTAGAACTCGACACCAGATGCTACGCGCTTGCCTCGAACGACTGCAGCAGCTGCTGCAAGATCAGAAGCTCGTGCGTTGGTGCAGCTAACGATGTATGCCTTCTGGATTTCGATCTTCTTCGCTTCCAGGACAGGAAGTGGGGTTGATATTTTGACACTGTTCGGGCCAGACACGTGCGGGATCAGGGTGCTCAGGTCAAATGTCAGATGCGCAGAGTACCCAGCATCGGAGTCAGACACAATTTTGTTTGCTTTTATAGCTTCCAGTCGTCTCCGGTTAAGGCGTGGGTGTTCGGGGGGAGCAGGAATGGCCCACGGTGTCGAGGAAGGGAAGGTGCTGTTTTCGACTTTAGAGATAAGGTTCTCATACCAAGCAATCAGGGTACCATCTACAGGAAAGACTCCGGCTAAGGCACCCCATTCAGTCGTCATATTCGCTATTGTCAGCCGCTCGTCCACGCTGAGAGCAGCCACTCCTTCACCCACGAACTCGATAGCAGCATTCAGGGCCTCGTCCTTGTTGAAGGAACCGCAAAGGGCGACTATAACATCTTTCCCGGATACCCCAGGATGCAAACGGCCCCTGAGTTCGACCTTGACCATCCGAGGAATCTGCCACCATGTCTTTCCAGTCGCCCACAAAGCTGCCGCATCTGTCCTTACGATGGGAGTGCCCACGCAGCCAACGGCTCCATACATGTTGCTATGGCTGTCACTGGCGACAGTAAGGCAATGAGGAAATGCATATCCTTCTTCAACGAGTATTTGGTGTCCGATTCCCCGTCCAGCAGGATAAAAGTCTATATTGTGCTTTCTAGCAAATGCCTCTATGGAAGAATATTTGGCCAAGTTCTTTGGTGACTTGTTCTGCACATCATGATCGAGTGTGAAGACAAGTTGATGAGGATCGTGAACACGGCTAGCGCCTATGGATTTGAATCTATCACGTCAAACAAATGAGCCTCTACAGATTCCAGCTTCACCAAGTCCTCACTTGGATATAACAGGCCCAGTGTTGTCGTGAGTCATCACATTTTGCGGTTTGATCATAACATAATCTCCTGCCTTGACCAGCTTTCCTGGGGCCAAATCGACAGCATACTTTTGCACGATCTTTTCAATGTAGGTTTGGCCAGTTGAGGAAAGTCCGGAGTATGTGGCAAATGTTCTGGTGCAGAGTGAAAGTGGGCGCCCTGCTATCTTCCAGGAAGGCATGGTCACATGCGAATCGCCGGATTGAATTTTTGAGTGGCTCTCGACAGCTCGTGACTTCCTTCGGCTCCGCGATGCATTCCGCCAAGGATGAGGAGGATGAGTGGGATCTCAATCCAACCATAACATATCGGCATCTTCTATCGAATATACCTCATGTTTAGTGGGTGTCTTCATGTGTCCCAGTCATCGCACCTTTTTTGATCAGATGAGATTGGGCAGCAACCCTCTTCGTGTTGTAAGTGAGTACGCAACGTATGAAGTATTTTTTGGGGCACTTAAATGTTCCCATGCAAGCCCTGTGCGATAACGATGCATTTTATGCTGCGTGTGAACGAATCCGACTTGGACTTCCTCCAGGTGAGACGCGAGTGCAGTGTTTGAACCACACCCGACGTGTTCCGAACCAACTATCATACAGAGACCCCGGTCGCTGCCCTACAGTGGGATTCGTTGGTGAGAATAATTTTTACATCTGCGGTACTGCGTTGGTGATTCGTGAATAATCTGAATATACGTTCCCTAGATTGCTGTCTCATACCCCGCACGAACATATGGCGTGAAACGCATGGATAATGTACATATGACGCGCTTTCGCTTATAATGCCGCCGAACTCATCCAATTTCAGGTCAAAGAGGCCAAGAAAAAATGTCCAAATTTAGTAGCGGTACATGTTATGACCTACAAGGAAGGCGACAGTGAACCAGCGTATCATGACAATCCTGATCCCCGACATTACAAAGTACATTCTTTCATTCGGCTCTGTTTACTTCTCATTTCTCGATCTAGGTCTCTCTGGACCACTACCGCCGTGAGTCTAAACGTATAGTGGATGTGTATCGAGAGAGGCTTCCTCCTGGAGCCGAGCTTGGTAAGATCATTCTCCAACAAGGTTTCTCATGAGTTTCTCATCAATTTCCAGAAAAAGCGTCTATTGATGAATGTTTCTTTTGCCTTACTCTTCCGGTTAGGGACATACTTCTGGAGAGATACCCGTACCTAGGGCAAGTGCCTCCTGAGGCTCCTAACGGACTTGATACTCCTCTACCACCACCTCCGTTGACGTATCCCTTCGAGGGATTAGGGAATCTAATTCCAATTGTCCCGTCGTCACCGACCTCTCCTACCGATTCGAAGCCAGAGTGCAGTATTGTAAATCCTTCCAATTCTCCTCGCAAGGGTCAACCCGAACTTCCTGAGGTAATGAGGAATGAATCCAATGCCTCGACATCCAAACACCCTGTAACATGGCATGATATAGTTAGTGTGGCATGATCTTCACATTGTTCTATTCCTGATTCCTCAAAGGCTCTGGGCATAGGGGCAGAGATCATGCTCAAAATGAGGACGGAAGTAAAAGAGAAATTGGGTTACACGTTTGTTCACGTTCTTCTTCTTGTTGCCTCTGATTCGAGGTGGCCACTCTGTCAGGACGAGCTGTGGAATCGCTCGTAATAAGCCATTAGCAAAGGCATGCTTCACCATACAATTCTCGAAGTGGCAGAGCTGATAGATCATGCAGCTCGTCGCTTCCTATAAGAAATTAGACCAGCAGGTGGGTCAGTCCAATGCTACCATCCGAGCTTCTGTTGAGACCGCAATAGTCCATCCTCCGAAATGCAGCGATACCTGGATATTGGAGGCCTATGCCATTCCAGAATGTAAGATATTCATTTTGCTACGAGGGACAATTAGTCACTGCCCGGAAGATCCGCTTTCTTGGTGGCAAGCTTGGTCGGACGCTTTCGGATGACATGGATGCGGAGACCGTTGGTGATCTAGAACATATTTCACTTAGTAAGCCATCTTTTCAAGAGTTTCCCGGCCGTATGTGGATTCGCGACTTCTATAGATGAGATGCAACGAATGTATGGAGAAGAATCTATATGGGTGTGGCAAGTCCTAAGAGGAATCGACAGGAGTGAAGGTCAGCTCAAGAGGATCCCTACTCAAATAAGGATTTCTGACATGCATGTCAACAAAGTGACCGAAAGAACGATAACCAAGAGTATGCTAGCTTCGAAGAACATTCAGCCGGCTTTCACCGACCCTGATGAAGGGGAACAATGGATTCGCTTGCTTTCGGTGAGTGCAATGGTTCTTTCAGACCTATTTAGTGATACTGACGTGGAGGGAAGTCTGAGCTAGCTATTCGTTTGGCCGATGCGAGAGAAGTGACACCCACAATCTGGCCGAAAACTATCGCCGTTCATTTCTCCCAAGGTAGTTATCGGGGAAACCTCCCTTGCGTGTGTTCTGATAGATTAAAATTGTAGGCTCTGAGCGGCGTGCCTCCAAACAATCGCCTTTCCCTTATACTCGTAACCTCACGGCGACTTATGTTGGCAATGTGGCGCTTAAATTGTGGGAGGCTCTCACAAAAGACAAAAAGGAGAAATCGGGTTCCGGAAAAATCCATAATATTGGTGTTTCGTTTGGTGGGCTGATGGCGGCGGAGACTGGACAGAGAAGTATCAAGGGTTTCCTAGCTGCTCCCAGACCTCGAAGAGATGGTTCTCCGTTAGTCGCTTTCCTGAAACTCGAACCCACTGAAGGTCAGGACCGTTTGAAAAGGAGACCGAGAGATCAGAGTAGTCCGGAGCTACAAGAAGCTGCTGGTTCTAGTGACAGCAACTCCTTCGTTTGCTCTCGTTGTTCCAGACGAATTTCATTGCCAAGCGACTCGAGGGAGGGTCTCGACGATCGGGATGCGATGGCATCCTTGAAGATGGAGCATGAGGATTTCCATTTCGCGCAAGATTTAGCTCGAGAGGACCATGATTTGAGCCCGAGTCGTACAAGCATGGCATCGAGGGAGGTCTACCCCGATAGGCCCTCGACGAAGAAACCGCGTAAGGAGTCTCACTCAGCTGGTGGCCGAAAAGCAGCCAAAGATGGGATTGCCAAATATTTCTCCCCGGGGCCACCTACGCCCTCCTCATCCTCCAAGGCACTGAGATAACGTACGCTAAGTTATAGACCACTGTTGCTCTTACCTAACGTTGCAGTGACGGCCGGCTGCCCGATGTTTGTCCTCATGTAGCAACAATCAATGTTGCATTGGGTTTGAGCCACCCGTGTGCGCGTTAATCGTGTCCGGAAAAGCACTTTTTTCTCAATCTACGACAAGCGTACCAAGTTACGATACATGAAGAGTCGTGGGCGAAAAGATGAAGAGAATATCCAAGTTACTTTTTAAACCATTTTGGAATCTTCTTTCCCAAGCTAGAGGCGAGGGGGCCCATCTTTGAGGAAGATGAAGATGGAGGCTCTTGTTCTCTTTTTGGAGTGGGGAGTGGGACCGATTGTTCAAGAAGTCGTGAGAGAAGAGGTGGGGGACGTATCGGATCTGCATATGACCGTAAGCAGGATAGAAGTAGCGAACAAGAAGACCTCACCATTGTAGCCATCGGTCTGGAATTTGATTAGCAATAAGGATGACGGGGCAAGATCTAATTGTGCTAATGATTGTAGTCTCACTTCTGGGTCAGAAACTTTTAATTCTCGTTTAGGTGGCTGATCTTGGTAGAAACACAGAGTTAAAATCGCGGAACACCAAGAGATGAATGTGATAGGCTCACAAAGTATGAATTTATCCGATTGTGCTTCCTCAATGAGTGAACTGCGAACGAATTGATAGACAGATTTTATTTTTTCTGTGGATGGGAATGACCTCTCCAGAATGAGTTGGTTGGGGAATTTTATCCGTATCTTTGTCTGTAGGGAAGATCAGCACCTTTGAATGATTCATGATTGAAGATGACTAACCGTAGGCCACCGACTGAGACGTGCCTCCTCATCCCGCTTCTTCATTGCTTGCGTCTTAAGGGGTGCATTTGTCAGAGCAACCACGCGTCTCTGCTGGGATGCATATGCTGCCTGTCGGACCACATGAATAGAGGCACTGGAAGATCGATGCTCTCTTCAATATCGCACCTTCAGCTCCGCAGTTGTAGGCTCGAACTCCTCGTCCGGTATATCGGCTTTGCGCATCGGATTCCATAAGTTATAAGCGTCTCATAGATCCTGGTCGACGCCCACCTGGCAATGTGGAAAGGGGTGGAGGTGAGTACACTTTCACCAGATCGGCCGCAACATCTGTTGGGTTCGTGGCCGTAACATTTGTGGTTTGGGCAGACGATCCCGTAGTGCTAACGCTGTCAGTGCGAGGCTCGTTTTTGTCATTGGGTGTCTGCATTTCAATTCTAACTTTGTGAGTACTGGATCGCAGCTGGAATCGCGCCCTGAACGCGTGTCTTCGGAAGCAAAGTTGGTGGACCTGCCAGCGTCCGGCTAAGACGCACAGCTTAAAATTCGAGTTCGCGGCCGCCACGCCGTCTCTCCCCAGGGCTTTTATACTCGCATTGGCTTGTCCTCTGGGTCACAATTCGGAGGCACCGACGTGGCTCATCGTTCCGGGGAAACACATCGGGTAATAAAATATGCCCAAGCCCTTGTATGGCGTCGTTGAAAGCACAGAGGTCCTAGAAGCGGCAGCGCACCCCGCGGGACCATTGCGTGGCATGTGAGTATTTTGGGGAATACTTAATGCTCAAACCTAACACGCTAGTCAGTGCCGCCCGTCGTGCATTCAAGTCAATTGAAAAAGTCCAAGCTGCTGCGAGGCGTTACCTTGTGTTGCAGAAATATCCCCAGCTTGCTCAACTTCATGAAGAACAACCTCGTGATCTCTCTTACGCGTCCTCTCTTCTGTTGCACACTCCAACTCAAATTGGCGCCGCCACCTCTGACCTGACCGCCTCTCCAGTTTCGAATACCCTTCCGACAACGCCTCAAGCACTCCAACCCCCTCCCGATCATTCCGTTCCCACCACCTATCGAATACCCAGTCCTCGACCGCATCACCTTATACCGACACCTCATTATAACCGTCCCGAACACGCTATTGTCGATCTTGCCGCTCAGATTCGTGCAACCCAGAAAGTCAACACACAGCTTCTCGTCCAAATAAATGTACTAGAAACTAGACTTGCTGACTGGAAAGTTAAAGCGCTTGCTGCCGAGGCATTGGTGAAGGATCGGGAAGGCGTCATCGGCACTGACTCTGTCTCCCTCTCCTTATTCGAGAGGGAGAAAGAGGCTGTACGGGAGCTTCGAGAGAAACTCGAATGCAGCATTGCACATGAAGCCGCCTCTAAGGGCAACCTAATGCAGGTGCGTGGGAAGGTGCAATCGCGTGCGAGGATCCTGGAAGCGAACCGGGCTAGGGAGTCCAAGTCCAGTACATCTCCTCAAGACGCGGAAAGGGCCCTTCGGGCAACCATAAGTAGAGCTCAAGTGTTTTTAGAGATCACTACCCGAACTTCGCGACCACAGCCACGCCCAACAGGCACGTCGTTGCCTCAAAATCACAGCAACGAGCACGCGGCAACGGTGCAATCCACACTCATTAAGCTAAATCGCACGCGTAGAAGCCCCTACGCTCCTACCAAACCCCCACTTCCCAAGCTTCTTACTCTACACAACCTGGCTTCCTCACTTCCTCGACCACCCCGGACGAGAACGCCAGGGCTGCAGGCCGTGGGCTCAGCGTTCCACCGTCAACAGTAAATCGATGGAAAAATACAAGCAAAAAGCGTCTGTCCGTTCCTGTCACAGACACGACGTTCGTTCAAGACAGGGCAGCAGTGAACAAGCGGCTCGCTGCTTTCTATGCTCCTCGTCCATCCCCCCTTTCAGAGGTAAGGAATTCTGGGCCTCTTGCTCCAAATCACTCGTTGAGTGTGAAGTATCCCACCATACCCCCCACTCCTCATTCTGCGCCACCACCGCCACCACCGCAGTCACAACTTCGCGGTGAACCAAACGGCGAGCACAGGCTGCCATCATGGGTCGACGAAATGCTGGATCACATTGCACATCCCCTACATCACCATCGTCTTGCTTCGGCAGATCTAAACAGGGCCATATTGGCTAAGCGAACGGCCAGCACATCTTCTATTGACAATTTGCATCTATCCCTCCAAGTCCCATCCTCCAGCCCCACTCGGGAAGACTGGGATCTCATAAGCGATAATGAAACCCTTGGAGGATCGAAAGTGAACCTACTGGCCCTCGGCGAAGCGGCACCTTCGGATAGCATCCACCCGACGTCGTCCATGAGCAAACTGCGAAAACGCACACCACATATCCTTCCGCATCAACAAGAAGGAAGCCAGTCAAGCAGTATACAATCCTCTTCTGGATCCGGATCTGGATGGTTCAAGAATGTTGCCAGTAAGATTGGGCACCCAGGCGCCATTTCGCCGAAACCTGAACGTGTGCGAGGGAAGAAAGGGTCGACTGTGTCTCGTATATAATTTTCATTTACATGCGCGTCCTATTATTTCGGTATCCCTTTTATGATAGTTTCACTCGTTTTCCTGATCTCTTCCATTGCTCGCCTGCATGGGCGCATTGACACAATATACGCATACCAATGTATACCATTATTCCATCACACCAATAGCCGATTTAATACCAAGTATCACTGGCAGTCCCAAGCTACCGAAGGTTCCACCAAACACCAGGTATCACGCAGCTGCAATATTCCATCTACATATGCTGTGTTTCATGTTCTAGCGAGATGACGCTTCATTCGGGTGAAGGCAACAATCAATCTTCAATATTAACATCTCTCAAATACCCGGTAGAGGTCAGGCAAACTGGCCACCTGAACCACCGCGCTCCCACTTTGAACGTCACCCATTTTCCCTTTCACACCCTGTGGTCCCACTGAACCCAGTAAGCTCTTTGGTGGAATCAGATAATCCCTGATCGCGGGCATCAAAACATGTTCAATCTGCCATCGTTCCGCCTTTTCTTCCTGCATCAGATCATCGCTTCCACCATCCCCATGACCGCCATCCACGTCCATATTATCGGCTGATGATGGAGAGGAAGAAGCTGGAGGGGGAGGAGCGAAACCCGCCGAATAGAAGAACGCTAGTTCGCGGAGGAAAGTCTCGAAGCAGTCCTTTTCGGACGTCCAATTTATCTATTGGAAGGGGGGAGTTACCAATCAGTGAGAGAGTCATAATGAATGAGCAGAAGCAAGCATACCTGTGGACCGAGTCGCATCAAAAAGGAAGGTAAACGGTCCAAATTGGGAGTGTAATCTTTCAGTAACATGGGTATACTCTCCAACAATCCTTTCTCATTGATGATAAGCGAGAAATATTCTTGGAGCATTTCTCGCTGATCCATCAAAAGTCCAACGATGGCCTAAGGTTTTTTTTTTTTTTTCGTTGAAATATCAGAGAACGTTAGACAATCGAAGTATGGGGTTGATGCAATCGAAAGCAACGGACCTGAACAACTTGTTCTTTTGTCATTCCACTTTTCTCGACTGTGGTCTCGCAATCAACAGCAAGCTGAATGAGCGTCTGAACTTCTGGAGGTGGTTCGAGGAGTAGCTTTCCAAAGTCCCCGAATTGGCGTACGCCAAGTTGATAGAACAATTCTTCTCTGTCGATCGTATGAGCAACATGATATCAGCTAGTTGGTCAGGGACGGAGTTGTCGATTTTTTTCAACTCACGACAAGGCCCCATAATCGACCATGTATAAATTCGTTGTGTGCTGAATGAGAGCGAGACATCGTTCCAAATCTACGATACCGACCGGCGTGTGATTGGATAATATATCATGTAGACCTATCAAGTTAATTCGCCGTCCCGTTCCACAGATTGGTGAGCTGATACGATATAAAGGGACGGAAAGAGAATAACCTACGTTCATGTCCTGCCTTCTTAATCTCTGCCCTCATCTCCATGACGCTCTGCAGGAAACACTTCGAATCTTGGATCCTCACCATTTCTCGTTCCTTCCCAGTCCTTCCTCTAGTTGTATTCTGAGTTTGAGTCACTACGTCCTCCAGAAGTGGATCTTCGTTATCATCTTCCTCTGATGAATCCGCGTCGATATCTCGAGGAGTGCCTTTGCTCTGACTTGAGGCGACAGCGGCGGATGATGAAGATGAAGGAGTGGGTTTAGCTGGAGTCTGGGATTGATGCGAGGGATGGGAAGTTGGGAGGAACATGGAATCCAAAGTGCGATCTTGAGCTGTAACGCCTCGGACTTTATGATGTGGGTACGGTTTCGAAGCGGGAGTCTTCAAAGGCGAGGATACTAAGTAGGTCGTTGTTGATAGTGTTAAAGAAGCAAGAACCGTCGTATTCTACCGGTGGACTTTACTTTGTTCTCGTTGCTCTTCCTCATCCTGCATGCGGAATTTTGGACCACGATCACGAAGCTGAAGTTGTTGGACTCCATCCACATCCCTTCCTCCTCTTGTAAGGAGGGTCTGTCAAACCGATCAACGCATATCTCAACCCACAACGTTCGTGAGCGATATTGAAGTACTCGCACCTGATACTCGAACGTCCTAGAATCATTTCTTACGGTGAGCGCTGCTTGAAGTTTATCCATCACTGCTTCTGTAATCTTATCCTCATCTAAGAAATGGACCTAAATACTTTGTCATGAATACATCGACTAAAGCGAAATCTCATGACTATGAACAAACCTCTCGTTTTGTTGGGTGAACGTTCACGTCCACACTTGCTGGGTCAATTTCCAGACTGTATCCAAGAAAAATTCAGATGATGCAGAATTGAAGGGGCTGTTAAAGGATATAGAGACAACCTTACCTCAGGTAGACAAACGGATATGACCCCTTCTGGAGTATGGATGCATAAACAGCTTCAACAGCTCGCTTGATACGTGTCGACTCTACCAAGCGATCTATGTATCACCAGACGAGACACCAAAATAATAAAAGTTAACCGTTCATCAGGTTATTCGTCCGCCTTTCGCAGCTGGGGGAAGCTTGTACGTACGATTAATGAATAAGAGAAAGGTTATCTTTTTGGAATGATAGTTGACGCTTGTTGCGTAAATTTCGGCGGACCAGGTTGTCCGGCTTTTAAGAGGTGGAAGGTCATCTTCGTCTCCAGTGTCCCTCATCATATCATCTTCTCCTTCCTCTTCCTCGCCTCCATCCCCGTCCTCCTCATCACCACCGGCATCGCCACTCCTCTTTCTCTTCCTCGAAGACTTGTCTCCATCCTCAGAAGACGTCTTAACATGCATCAACTCCCTCCCCACATTCCCTCCATAAACCAACTTGATCGCACCCTCGACACTGGCACTTCTTCCACTCCCACTCGTACCTTCCCCTGGCGTACTAATATCCGGCACACTCCCTACTCCGCCTGCACCTTTTTTGCAACTGAACCCAACATTCGGATTATGAACTGCATACCTCATTACAACATCCAATATCCTTCCATACTCTTCAGAAACGGAAGAGGATGAGGAGCGTAAAGCTGATAATCGAGTGGGAGTATTGTAAAAGAGGTCTTCGACCGTTAGAGTCGTACCATTCGTTCCGGCGTAGGGTTTTATGATGTTTGTATTATTTATTATGTCTTCTTGGGATGGTGCAGGCTGTGAAGACGACGAAGAGGAAGCGGAAGGAAGTTGAGAAGAACGAGGTTGAGAAGAAGAGGGCGAACTTGATACTGGACGACCATCGCTATACGAAACTCTCCATGCGCAGGGATCTAGTTCTGTTTTCGTCGTCACCGTCAAGTGAGCAACATGCGATATCGAGGCCAGTGCCTCTCCACGAAATCCATATGTATGAATGGAAGCTAAATCGGAAAATTTAGAAATTTTGGATGTTGTGTAGCGTTCACAGAGGATTGGGAGATCCGCTTTCTAATTTATGAGTCACTACTTGACACAAGTGAGCGAGAAAGCAACCAAGAGGGCTCAACTCGAATGCCACAGCCGTCGTCCTGAATTTGTAGAAGTTTTAGACCACCTTCTTTGACAGTTACGCGTATCTGCTTCGCGCCAGCATCGAGCGCGTTCTCGATGAGTTCCTTGAGAGCTGATGAAGGGCGCTGAATAATCTAAGCACACAACGTGTGTTGGAATGGCAATGTATTATTGAAATCTTTTCTTCTTTCCAATAACTCACTTCACCAGCAGCAATCCTGTTTATAAGCGACTGTTCCAAGCGCCGAATTGGCTTTGGCGCTTTCTTGATAGGTTCATCATCTTGAGTTGTCATGGCTGAGGCGTAAGGACTAAGTTTCAGGAAATGAATGGATGAACATGTGAGAAAGGATGATCTCAGTCTAAGACGCGCTTTTGTGACTGACGCGCTCCGCGTGTCACAAACTGAGTCACTTGACCGAAACTGTCGAGACAAATGACGTCTCACTGATGAATTGAGTTTTTTGGTGGCAGTGCGGTTTGACCTCAATCGAGCGGTGTCGGTTGGTTTTGTTTTTCCACTGTTCCCTTCAATACATATAGCTTCTGTTGTCGCATTCTTAACGTTTCAATCGTATTCTGAGTTGCGTATTTCTCCGCTTTTTACCCTCATTAAACCACCTATAAAATCGACTCCACTCTCGTCATCTGATGCAAGTTCAAGACGACCTCCCTCCAACCCCCTCCACTGCTCGTCCAAATACACCAGGAGGATTCTCCATCGCACGCACATACACAGGGACCTCAGCGTACTTCTCCACATACGAGACACCCACTGCAATGGCTTCGACACAACAACTCCCCGTCATTCACGCCCAAGACGGCCCAAGTCCAAAGTATGAAGGAAAGGCTCTTATCTTGGATGTACCCTCGACGGCTGCTCCCTTGGAGACCATGCCTGCTTCTCCTCCTCCAGAGGACGTAAAAGCGTCGCCAACCCTTCCATCTAGCACTGATGAATCTCTCGTTGAGAAGTCCCCTGCGAACGCCGCTGCCGCTACCACTGATGTGGCCGCTCAGCCACCAGCTAACACTTCCTCTCCCACATCCCCAACAAGCAGTGCGAAGGGACTCTCCGCCTATCCTGAAAATGTGGACGAGAGCAAACCTATTGTTGTTGAACCCGAAGCAGACTTGTCGAGGCACGCAACTGGTGCATTTGCCGATGGGGCTGCTACTACTGTGGGTACAATTATTCCTTATATCAGATGCCGGCCGGCTTTAATAACCACTGGCACATTGTTTATTGCACAACAGCGTCACCCAGAGCGAACTGGAACGTTGCACGAACGTGCCGCTACAGCCGAGGCCCAGCTTGACGAAAAGACCAAATCCAAAATTCTCAAAGCCGAGGGTAAGTTTCATGCCTCATTTCGCTCCACCACATTTCATCATGGGACATGCATCGGACCCACATTTAAAATTCATTTTTGTGACTTCGTCATACTTGCCCTCACGGCAGTCAACGTGACTCCTGACCAACTTCCATTATGCGCCCTTCGGTCTTGGTTTCACATCAATTTGATTACTTACTTAACACGTTCAACAGGGAAAAACAATAAGCAAATGGCCAAGATCATCAAAGCCGAAGCGAAAGCCCAGGATCGGGCGCTCCAGACGGCCATCGACGAATTAAAGAAACTCCAATCAGTTCAAAAATCCGCTGTTACGGTATAGCCATTCTTCTTCCCCTTTCTAATTGCTCGCACTGATTCCACTTCCTACTAATCGGAACGCCAGGAAGAATCCAAAGCCTTGTCGCAACACACAAGAGCGGTGGCCATCGAGCAAAGAACAGCCGCTGAATTCGCAAAAATCAAAGCGCAGTACGAAAAGGCTCAAGTCGAGCTGCGATCTAATGTTGAACGGTTGGAAAATGCTAGAAAATATGCAAAACAAACGACTGAGGAAGTGAAAGAGAAGAATCTGCAGGTTTTGAGGGCCACGGAGCAGAAGAGAACGGATGACAGGGAGAGGGCTGCTCAGTTGGCTACGCTTGGTAAGTTGCGATGATTCAAGGTTTGGAAGACGATGTCGGAGACGAGCAGTTGATGTTACGTCCTTGTTCTATAGGCTCTGGTGAACACTCAAAATTGTGTTGGTAAAGAGAAGGATGAGACACAATTCAGTGTACTCTTCTTTTCCCATCTTTAGTCCCGATACCCATTGATTCCTTCTTGTATACGTGCACCTGAAGCCATCACCCCCCTATTATAGGTGAAGGCTTCGGACATACCCCAAATCCCTACCCATCTATCTTACACGAATATTTATCCAAACCATCTTAATATTCCTCTATCCTCTTTATTCTCGATTTCAGAGGATAGCCAACTGTTGTCACGAGTACTGATGTGTTTCCCTTGCTTAATGTACTGCTCAGATCTTGTCGAATAGCTAGGTTCGGCGGGTCGGGTGTAATTACTATGAAACAGGGTATATCAGTCTGCTCTATTGTCGGTACGCCGGCCTGAGATGAGCGGCCACGGGCATGATGTATATAACGCTGGTGCACTTGAGCGGTGGTCACTGTTGTAAGTGGGGAGTTAGATATCCGACGGCCCAGCCCTGCCATTTTAATTCGTCTCTTTTGTCTGGCTCAACTCATCACCTCTGCGCGCACCGCGGTCGTGCTACTACTAAGTGTAGTCGGATCGCGGAGAAAAGGCACTCAAAGGCTTCTTGACATCCTCCTGGTAGACAACTCCCACTGCACGAGCTAGACGCTTTCCACTGAACGGCGTCTCGGCTCCCACTGTTGTGTTCTGAAATTCTGGCTGTCCGCGCAATCCGCTGTACCGCGCCAACATCGATGGTCCATCAAGTATTCCCGTAGCTACCACTAAAAATGCAGGTGGTGACACTGCCGGCATCCAACAACTCATGGAACTTCCAGGGTGGCGCGTCTGGGTTGAATCTTCTCTTCAGTTTGCACAAGCCTGTCCGGGCCGAAACCGTCCGGACACTTTCGCGATTTCATGCGATGAACAAGGGTCATTGGAAATCAAATTTCGACACGATACCAATGAACTGGATACAGGGAAAGAAATAAGCTAGCTTAGGGCAACAAATGTCTAAGCCTACTTAAAAAACTGTCATGATAATCATGTAGCAAGGTCCTTGAGTTCTTGCACCGCCACTGGCAATTGTCCGTATGTCCATGGAGACAGAAAAATTAAGGGAAAAAAATGAGCTACAGCTTAGGCCCACCAATGTCCAAGCCTGCTTAACAAAGCACTCAAGACTGCAATGATAATTATATAGCAAAACTTCTTGAGTACTTGTTCAGTTCCGGGCACCTGGAAATGAGCGCCGTTTTCCAATACGGGGGGGGAAGTTTGCCAAAGAGTCCTCAGTAAGGTCATCAGAGCTGAGTGTCGAAACACTCCGGACTACGAAAAACTTACTGTCGCATTATCAGCTTCGGTATTTCGATAGCCACCGATATCATCGAATCGAAGTCGCAAGAAATCCTTTGCCAGTGCCACCTTTCCGCAAGGGCAATTCATGCTCGCATCAGGATCCAATCGGCAGTTATCGAGGCATTCCCCACAGAGCACATGTCCTAGACACATTTTAAACTCTTGAGAAAAAAACCTTAAGCAGTATGGGTACTCACCACAACGAGCCAGGTACAGGTCTCCCCCGGGCCTCCAGCACCAACTGCAAACCAGCTGGTCTTCTTTATTCATACTTTGGTCGAGGTTCGGAATTGGTTGGTATCAACAAGTCGAATATCGCGCATACGGAATGTCGATGCATCGAAAGCCCAGTCTGGTGTCAACTTTGCTCCGATACGTCGAGTGTGGTTGAAAAGGGACTTACGATCGTTGAGTGCTCTGTGCTTGGTACACACCTACTTCGCGCGATGAGGATTTCACCACTTCGCGGTGAAGAAGGTGCACTGAGGTCAGACTATCCGAAATTATATATGCGTGCCCTCGAGCTTGTTTCCATCGCTTCACGATACCTTTCAATGCCACCGACTCCAAGGTCCTTCACCAACTGAAAAGAAAAGAAAAATGCCACACGTTGCGTATGAGCTGCCACGCAGGCACTGCTCGATGTTGGTGCTCGTGGAATCAAGTAATAAAAATTAACCCATTTTGGGTAATCGCAAAGTTGACGCCTATGTCTCTGTTTCCATCGTTGCATAACGCATTCTAATGCCATTCCTAGGGTCTCCCTCGGCTTTCAAGAGAAACTATATGCTCTGAGCAATGGGGTGCCAATTCGAGAAAGATGAACATCAGTTGCAAGAATGCCTAAAATATGCCACCAAGACACAAGGGCGCAAAGCTAAAAAAGCGTGGTAGTCAATCATTCATTTGTTACTTATGTAATAGAGGCCTACCTACGCTGCCACAAGAGGAGCCATGAATAGGAGGGTCTTTTTCCGACAGCTCTCTCTGTCTGGCTTGATCTGCATGTCCGAACCTGTGATATGGCTTAGCTGAGGCCCTGAGGGGAAAATACTCTCCGCTATCTTAGTATCTAGGTGGTAGCCTGCTCTACCAGAGCTGCTTCGGGCGTACCGTGCACAAGTCAGTTGCAAAGTAGCGGGCGCTTTATTCTGAGTGGAAGCGCACGGTAATGCTCCCTCTACGGCGCGATGCACTCCATTATTTTTTGGTTTTATTAGTCTTTTCAAGCTAGCTCGTCTAACTATTATCGAGAGTATTTGCGGCGCACGCGACTTGTTAGCAGCTGAACATAAGCTGCCCAGGTTTTCATGTTCTCGCGATCGAAGATGGGCTAGGGTTAAATATTCCATCAGGCAACAACGATTTGTGCTATGCATGGGTACAAAAAGGGAAGAAATGACTCCCGAGGACTGTCCACGGTTTTAGGCCCTAGGGGCGAAGGCTTTCACAATGAAGTTACGGCCATGAAGGCATAAAGTACCAAACAGGGCACCCAGAGTTTTCCCGTCCTCTGAACGGCCTAAAGCACCACCGTGGTAACGACCGAAGCCATTCGAAGAATCATCAGCGTTTCAGTGCGGCTACAAGATCTAACCGATATGGAGTGCCGGAACTCATCGCGTTGGCATGCACGTTGAAGACTTGGCTTCTTCGATTGTTCGGACGTTTGAAGTCGTAGGCGTTTTTTTTCCCATCTTCTGCAATAGGAGCATTTAGCCGTTGTAGCAAGACTGGTTCGCCGGATGCTTTCGTTGCATGCACGCGTCGCCAAGAGATGACCGGGGGCGATGCTCGTTGTAGATCCAGCACAGTTAAATTAGCCTTTGCAGAGCAGGTGAGATACAGTGATTGGGCACGCCCCGTCAAAGACATCTCCTTTGCACCTCTAATTGAAAATACGAGGACTATGATACTGTTGACATGACATGACGTTCCCACGGTTTATGCCCCTTGATAATTACTAGAGTGCTCGCCTTGCTTCGCCAAACCTGCACAGCGTGCATGCATTAATTTAGCATAAAATTTAATCCAAAAGACTTACAATACTTTCAAGCAGATAGCATCCCGGCCCCTTCGATGTGTAAGAGCATTTTTTTGTCTACCCATCACACTGCTTTCATCTTACAACTCCCTTCGTCATCATTCTTATGTCTTATTCATCTCCCCCTCCTAGCCTCGCTGCCGTACTCGAACACTGACATGCATGAGTGTTGTACTGGAGAGAACAAATAACCGATATAACCGAAATAAATGAATGACCAGAGAAAATATTCGCACGTTTTCAGCGTCAGAAGTTACGTAATTGTGGGCTGGGGAAGTGACTCTGCTGTGCAGGTAACTCAGGCCATCCATCGGACGCCTTTATATTCATGGGAGAACCGCGTTTCACCAGCCCTTCGAGCTGATCGACCAGTTTTGGTGGCAAGGTGGTTCTCTCAATCGATGGAGAGCCCTAGGCCCACCCTTGATGGATTTGGAATTTCGTGCTCATTAGCTTCAATCGCTAAGAGACACTCAGAATGAGATAAAGGAGGAATGTTCTTGAAGCCAGAGATCGATTTTACTCTCTCCAGGAGTTGAAGGGAGTCGCATCCTGATTACTGTAAGAGGACAACTCAGAGTTTAGCTGGGCTGTTTTTTTTACGGTAATCAGCATGCGGCTCCCTTCAACTCCCGGTTGGGTTCGCTCGTAGAACCTCTCTTACCGTTCTCTGGTACAAAGGTGGCATTGCTACGAATGAGAATGTGACGCAGATCTCACTGCGAGCGGTACTGACCGGTGTGAAAAGTGAAGAGTACAGAATTAGAAGCAGGGTTAGTAGTAGGCACGATTACTGGGGAGCTCGCTACACTATATGTGAGGGGGGTTAAGGACCCTAGGTTACCGTTCAATGCATTTTCAGAGGACCTTGTCATTTGTGTCATTCAATCAGGGGCTCTAAATCCACAGGACTCGGCGCTATATACAGAGTAGCGGGATAATTGGAAAATTCGGTGTAAACGTTAGATAGTCACAGTGACATCGGTCTATGTACTATCCCAATACACAATCTGGTATTTATCAGTCTCAAACCATCTGACCAAACGAAAGAGTTTTCTGTAGGATCTGAACAGTGATTTTTGAGCTCTATATACGGCGTTTCCCCCAACCGGAGTGCATATCCTCGTACTGATTCGGTTGTCGCATGGTTGTACGCCCTGACGCCACTTCTAAGGTCCCTTGAACAGTCAGGGGATGCTAGCTCTGTGGTCTGAGAACTGGGAAACTATGTGCCAGATTGAAAAGAGTCGGGCAGTGCTCGCGGGATACGTCATCGCTCCGAATGTTGGGTGTCTCTCAGTAGAGTCTGCCCCAGACATCATCTGGGCACTAAAGACGCACAACAGGGACAAGGAACGGACCGTCATGCGTCGCTCACTTCGCGCTCGCTCGAGTCTCATGCTGAGTTCCGTGACAAATATCCGAATATGTGGGGGATGCAGCCTAAGACTAGTCAGTGGACGCCAGGCAGATGGTCGGGTCGAATCCTGGAATGATGATATAGGCTCTTGGGGGGAGAACCTTAGAGGGAAAAACGACGCCACAATGATCATGGAACACACGACAAGTCAAACACACAAACTAAATGAACATGTGGCGGGGCAGGATAGAACGGGGGGAATCGAGAACAAACACAAATGTCCTATATCTTCGAGAATCAGGTCCAGTTCAGTTTGATACGATGGACAAGATAAATTCCCAGCAGTTGGGAATCATTGTCCAACTATCAATCGCCATCGTCGAACGACGATCCTTCGCCAGTTTCAATTTCGCGGAGATGTTCTTGGGCTGTCTGCAGCTGGACCGCTGTATTGGTACCCGAGTGTTCCATATCGGTCATCAACGTCAAAATTTGGACATCCTCTTTAAGTTGGCGTAATCGTGTCTTCATCTCCTCTTGATTAGCCAAAGGGAGGCGCAGGTAATTCGCTGTTGACGGAGAGTCTTCATTAGGGAACTGAAACAATGAGTTGGTTTTCAATTCCCTGGTTCCCGGTGAACTTGAAAGTAAACTTACAGCTCTCGCTCTGTTGGAATATTCGCTCTGATCCACATCACTCCGGAAGATACCGAGGGTGATTTTCAGAGGATTTCCACTTGCCCTCACCCCACAAATTGGACAACTGGTTCCTGGAACCGGACCATCGAAGCTTGTAACCGGAGGCAAGCAATGTTCACAAAAGAAATGCCCTACATGCATTTCCAAGACAATCAAACTAACATTGATCAAGGAAGAATATGCTCACCACAAGACAGAGCGTGAGGATTTTCCAGAAGACGCAGGCACACCCGACAAAATCCGGATGGTAGAGACATCGCACAAGGTAGAACGTAAAAACCTCGTAAATGTTTGCGTCAAGGAGCTGAAGAATATAGTGTGGTGTCTGAACGAGGCTAGCTTACAATCCACTGAAGTCACAGCTTCTGCGAGGCTGAGGAGACATGCCAGTGCTGGACAGTCGAAGTTAAATGTCTTCAAAGTTGCTATGGTTTCGCGAGACGCTGCTACCGAACGGGGAAACGGGTCGGGGCAATGCTTGGCGAAACGCGACCATGCCTTTTGTTTGCAGACGCACAACCTTTTGGAGGTACCATCCTACGTCGTAAGTTGATCATGCATAATAGTTCACGCATGCACCCACTACACACCCAGTGCTTCCAATCCTGAAAGGATATCACGATAAATAGTGTCTGAAGGTCATTTCGACGGCTACGGAATTTGTGGGGCCATGCCGACTATAAGTTATCGTCAGCTGTGAGTAATGTTAATCATTACCAGATCTGGGCTTGAAGTTGGCGTTTCTCCTTTTGATTCGACAACGTTGCTCACTCGCCCTTCTAACGCCCTCGTTGACACTGGTAACGCTGAAAACTCAGCATGGTAAAACAATAGATTGACCCCGTCTCAGTGGCAGCAGTGGAGGCATCGGGGGCCAGAGGACTCTTGAATATCTTTTGTCCTTCCGATCGCCTGTTGGTCTTGAACTAGGCGATCCACGAACATACGCTGGCGGTACCGCGATCCCAATGGTAAGAACTATCGTACACGCGCGAGATACACAGGCGGCACGGCAAGTACAGGAGCACAGTAGTACAAGGACAGTCCGAGAAGAAAGGAAGAAGGCCAACGGGATGTGGGGAGGGCGGGTTCGTGAGAATGCGGTGTTAGTGCGATCTTCTAGCCTGCTGGCGACAATTGTGAGTGATGAACAGAAGGGGGGGAGGCAATGTTGCCCTGGAGGGCTCGGTTATGATACACTTTGTTCATTTGTGCCACTCGTTGTGTCCGTGAGTTCAGGCCCGTTCGAGGTGTACAACACGCCATCCAACGCTTGAATTCTGGTATTAGTGTTTCCCATCAAAGATGCAAATTCAAGCCAAGTGTTGATGTCTGGACACGAAATTTCAGCAGTATGTATATGGGGAAGTAGTGTCAACAGTGATTCAGACATACATCCATCGGTGCCAGCGCTTTTATGCTGGATTGTGGCTAGAATTCGTCTCAACATTTCAATCTCCAGTCTCGCCTCAGCGAGTTGAAGTTGCGTCGTGCTAAGCTCGCCCTGACTGTGCTCAAGGCTACTTCGCATCGATGAAGCTTCGGCAGCATTCCTTTGCGCAACACATCGAACTACCTGAACTTGTCGAGAGATGTCATCAATTGCAATCTCCTTCTCCCCAATGCGAGCCTGGAGGTCCTGTACTCGGTTGTCTGCCGTTTGGAGTTGAACTTGAGTGCGTTCGTATTCGGAACGAAGTGCAGCGAGGTCATTCTGAAGGTTCTTGACATGAACCAGCGCGAATAGGGGTACAGGAATGGTTGCTTCAGCCCAGGACTTTGTGTTTGTCTCTTGGGAATTAGATTCTGAACGTGTGGTGACAGCTGCTTTCGCACTTCGAGTCGGCCCTGTCAGTGATTTCTCCAACGGCTCAACGAAGAGTTTTATCGGCGGGGAATGGCCAGCTGGCTTCCTGCACATAGGACATCCCTTTGGTGGTCGTTGTCGCGAGCTGAGAGAAGAAGCGGCCCCAAGATACTGATTCAGACATTCGAAGCAGAATACATGCCCTATGATGTTCAAAGTGAGGCCAGACGCCGATTGAGGTCTCCAACGACATATGAACCTCACTCACCACAAGAAGGTAAAGCACAGGGGTTCATTAAGACGTCCGCACATATTGCGCAAGACCCAATAGGCTCGTACATATATGATTTGCCTCAGTATTGTCGGAGAAATCAGGTCCTCAAATGAAGCTGCAATCAGTCAACCAACAGACGCGTTATTCCGTAACCTCCGCAATCAAACCAAGGGCCTGAATAGGCCCGAATCGGGATGGTCTCGTAGGGGAAAGGATACTTTGGTGACAGGGAAAAGAAACGGTTGAGGAGGCAGTTGGGTCGGAGCGAAGCGCCAAGATGACTCCCGCCTGTTGCCGTTGTGTTTTGATGTCCGACAAGACTCTAATTACACGCTTTGTGCTCGTTATGTGCGTTTGGGAGAATGGCAGCTTAACATCCTCATCTACCTATTACATGGCTCCCTGACCCGGGATAGCCTCCAGAGGTTGACTTGTTTAACACTGGAGCATCTAATTCTTGTTGTCGCATCAACTCGTGCAAATTAGACCATAACGCTGCCAATGACGAAAATTCCCCTCCCACGCCTCTAACTTGGTCAAGTTTCTGGTTGAGTTTGTTCTGTTCTGTCAGAAGTTGCTCAAATCCCTGGAACGTGCGGATAAGTCAATCACGCTTCTGGCAGGGTCGGGTTCCTTACGCTACTAATTTCGGCAATCAAACGTGTTCTTTCTTTCTCAAAGAAGTCAGAGTCCTCCTCCTCGTTCGACGCCATCTTTGGTGTGATTCTGCGTTCCACTCCACGTGGTATCAATGTGGGTTGGAGGATGCTTCCGGACCAGTTTGCATCAATATGACTCGATGGAGTCCTGTGGGCGCCTGCTGGAACTGGAACTTCAACTACAGAGTACCCTTTTGATGTCACCAAGTGTTGATAGAGGTATTTTCACGGATCAAAAAATAATTGTCCTATAAACTGTGCCAGCTGCCTAGACCCGGTTGCTGATGTTGAATGACTGGCACTCGGGCACCAAACCATTCGGCCCTAAAGCTGACTTATCTGAATTGCGCTAACTTCGGCGGCGGGCACGCTAGGCCATAAGGAAAGAGTTTGGATGGAACCCCGCCCCTCTCGTTCACATGGCAGATGGCTTTCGCGTGCACCTGTGTGGTTCGCTGTAGTCTGGAGATTAATCTCGGAGCTATCCTCCTGGGAATCCCGTATGGGTTTTTCCTTCATCTGCTCAGATGAGTGCGGCTTCCATGAGGTGCATCGATTTCTAAGGATCACCCTGATTTCTGAAGGATAACATTGGCACTGACAATGCTGGGGGGCCTCCATTAATGCTGTGTATTACATCTGTGATTTCCTGGGTGGTATGTATGTTCTGACGGGGTCAATGAGGTTATGTGATGGAGTCGCTTGCGTCCCCCAGTGGCGAGCCTTTGCTGATCTGAAGAAAGTGGCCATGGCAGACAATTTCGCGGCATCCACCGAAATTTCTGTCGGCCGTATACAAATCCTGATGTCATCCGATCGGCGCAGATGAAAGCACCATGCGAGCATGCAATTCATTTATATTCCTGGTGCACACGATGTCCCACATTTGCAACGGTCAATGATCACTATGGAGTTTTGTCGCATCTACCAGCGGCCATCATGGTTGTAGGTCCAAAATTTTCAGTTGCAGTCCAAGGCAATGATAACTATTTTACCGATATTTACAATTGACACAGCAGGTTAAAAAACAAAAGGGTAAAAGTGACCGAACGGCTTAATTCCAACTAGCGCCATCACAAGGTTGTCTCGCGCATAATCTACCATCAGGTTTTCATTCCGAAGGAAATCCGACCTTACGGAGCGCGCATACACCTTAGAGGTTATAGTATTGATGTCAAACGGCCCCTTCATCTCCTTTTGGTCAATTCAGTTAGACAACACCCAAAGGGGATTGAATTGTTGAGCACCGAAAAAAAATAAACACCCATATCTCTGATATGCTTGGTCATCGGTATCCGCAACTGACCTGATCTGGGCTATAAGAGTAACACTTTAGGCCCACGATTTACTGGCTCACTCTTCATTGGCACGCCGCACGCACAGCACGCACACACAAACACAAAACGCTGCTTCTACTCGCTTGACATGGACTCGGATAAGCTCGTCGAATGCGAGATACACCTTGGTCCCAATCCCCTGAAACCTGTGAACGTATCGTAAGCTCAACAGTCTTCAGGATGTTATCCCTAGGCCTAATCGCATGATTTGCAATCCCAGGATCACACCCCAAAACGCCCGGGAGCACTGCAATGAAGTGCGGGTATACACACCGATGCTCCCGGTCAACGCGCCAGCTTCCCAGGCGTTATCAGTTGTCCACAGTAAGCCTGTGGACAGGCTGGTGATAGCTGAGGTGATCGTAACTACGGAATACCACGATTTTGACGGAAGCAGCTATCCACGAATAGCCACGAGGCTGGATCCGAATCACTGCGTCTGGCGATCGGGGGTGACGGAACGTTTTGGGATACCTTTCTACCCCGGATACCTGGTCTATAGATTTGGCATTGAGATTCCGGTTGGAATCCCTGTTGGTGGATGCAGTGTCAGCGCCAGAGTCAGGGTTGTGACGGAGAGATGGGATTCAACGACTGAAACATGCCAAGAACATAGTGCAACGTGGTATGATGCAGTTGAGCACGCATCCAACCGCCAACCCTCATAGCCGTTCTGGGTCCGCTCTGTGTAAATCCAAATGATACGGAACTACATCAACACCGCGCACCTCTGGTCCGTTAGCCCTTCGACCCCAATTAGCAACTTCGCCGTTGTGCATGCCCGTGGACATGCTCGAGTGAAATGATCGGCCGGTAAGTTAAACGATAAAAGATCACGGCGAAGTACTGTTGTTCGATGCAAACATGCCTAAATACACGGCGCAGCAGCCTCGAATTTGGGCTTTACTCCAGCAATTATGACACAGAACAATCGTTTGGCGTTTCCTTCACAATTTAGACGCTTCTCCCGTCACTCTAACCAATCTGAAGGGGGGTCCGCCGGTCCTCAGGACACGAGCCACTTATCAATGAAGATACTCACAGCTTTCCCCTGTTCTCACCACGGAACAGCATCTGGAGATACCGTGGGCAATTCTCAAGTCCGGACTCGATGTGATACTTCCGCTTCAATTTGCCCTCCTGGATCCACTGAGCCATATCGGCCACAGCCTTTGGATAGTCGTTCGTGAAATCGAACCTATCCCCGACCATGCAATATTGAATGTTAAGTCATTGGTACTGCAAATCAGCGACAACCAAAACTGACACGATGAAACCTTGGATGCTCGCTCGCATGGCCGTGAGAGTCTGGTAATTTTGCAACCCCCGTGGTTTCGACGAGTTGTACTCCGAAATGGTGCCACAGAGGACGATGCGCGCGTTCAGGTTTAGGCGGGTAAGCATGAAATCAAGGATCGATCCACCAACTATGGGAGTAGGTAGTCCATGAGACGGCGAAGATACAAATGACAGCATTAGACTAAGTCACACCGTTATCGAAGAACACATCCCTATTTGAGAATTGACATAGAGTGAGCGAGAGATGGTGCCCGGGAAATGGACCGTTTTGGCACTTACAAATAACCGACTTCCCTCTTGAACCGGCTGTGCCACCCTTGTTCGTTGTAATTATACGCCTTATCGATACCCAGGTCCTCCACTAGCCATCTGCATTTATCTTCCGCACCAGCAATGCCAATAACCTTAGCACCTATACGCAAACCAGTTGTCAATCATTGGTATTCAAGTAGCATGAGAAGGTGGGAACCTTTGATCTTGGCGATTTGACAAACCAGAGAGCCTGTGGCGCCAGCTGCTCCCGAGACTACGACGGTTTGACCAGGCTTAATCTTTCCAACGTAGAGGATACCCTAGCTCGAACCATTTGCTTAGAAAACCGTAACGCTGAAATATTTGGTACTTACGAAGTACGCGGTCATGCCTGTCCATAGCGCCCATAGTCGATGGAATTCACATGATACACAATGGGTCAATACTCCTCAGACTCACCGATCATCCCGAGCGGGCCCAGGAAATCGACAGGATTCGCACCTGGCGGCGCTCTACGTTAATAACCACAGATAAGGCAATTTCAACACAATGGAGGGGAGAAGCCCGCTCACACAACCTTTTCCAAAAACTTCTCCTTGATGGTCGAATACTCAGTCCAGCCTACGTGCCCGATTGAGGAAAATATAGTGATGGCACTATTCCTTGCAGCCAGAAGATCACTAACCGAGATACCCCTGCACGATATCACCTTTCTTGAGCGTTTTTCCGTTCGTCAACACGGTTCCAAGTGCACCAGCGCGCTGTTTCCGCGAGAGGGAGAATGAGTGGTGCAAAAAGACATCACGATCACCCACCATTGTTTCCCCAATTTTGACTGGAGGCGTGTACCTGTCAAATCGTAGAACTACCTCAGCTACAATCACACATTGGGGGCGCCGGGTCACCATACGAGCGGACATCGCGAATCCAGCCACGCATGGCGGGATCGAGCGAAACGATATCGACGCGCACTACGACCTCATCTGGACCTGGTTGTTTAACGTAGGTTGTCTCCGAGACCTATTCCTCTTTCACCTCAATTTACACACGGCGATAGATTTGGCGGTACCGCTCACAAAGGTGTCTTTCTCGATGCCTTCTATTGGGCGTTTGGACAAGTAGACACGCTTGGTTTTCGCGGGTACGATCAGAGACATGCCGAGTATCCTCTGTTCTAGCAGCTAAACGAGATAGGAGCAAGAGCCCAACCCACAAATCCGGAGACGCATTGCCGGCCGGTGACTCCCACCTCCACATATTCAGTCTCAGGGAGTGACATGTTACATATATCACATGCAAGATGGTGAGGCCGGTGAAGTGTCGGACATTTCCTTCAGCCCCCAAGATTACGTAAGTCGGTGGAATTAACTGTTCATATTCCCACACTTCTCATTGTTGTGCTTTTCAGTGGACAGGTGAGACCATCACGTAGCAGTGTCGGCGGAAGGTAATCAGTAGTAGCTTTCAAGCTTGTTTTGTCTGTAGACCTCTTGCAACAACGCAAATCACATTGTCCAACACGTCGGAACCTAAACTCCTGTTCATAGCTTGTAAGCCAAAATTCTCGTCATGCCTTCTTCTCGCCGTTTATGAGCGTTAGAGTATCCTGAACCCTTGGTATTTGTGATATTACACTCTGGCGATGGCACCACATATCCTCAAGCAACTCCGCTATATCGCTTTCGGTTCGTACTGTCTGTATGAGCCTATTCGTCCTTTCCTAACGGACCCTTGGCATGCCTTGGTGTTTTTCTCGCTTCAATCAATGGTTTTCCAGGAGCTGCAACTACTTGGTACTTCAACGTTCCCAAGCACATCTCTGAGGTGTTGGATAGGGGTGTGACAACTCTCCCAGGGTGAGTGCGTCATTTTATTCCTTCACTTCGTAAGTATCGCCCGAACGCATATCCTCGCTTATCGCTACTTTATCTAATAGAGCTTTGACTGTCACAAGTATTGCTCTGCAAATACTTGCTGTCGGAGTATTTCTTTACATCTTGGTTTATCTTCCTCGCATCAAAGGGATTCATCCTGACGTATGTGTCTCGTACGAGCACGCGGACTATGATATACTCATAGAGTTCTCCAGTACTCTCATTGGCCGCAAAATGAACTATCTACTGCGGTCCCAGTAAGCAGGGATCGTCGTTATGCTGCATCTGCATTCCTCACCAATCATACCCTATTCATATCCACTAGTGGCTAACGTTCGGGATTATTGGGGGATGGAGCTCCCTCTTCTATGCACTCTGGAGCTATACAGAACTCGTGCTCTGGAAGAGCATCGTAGCCAGTGCGTATATAGTTCTCCACTCCTCGCTTCCACATTTCAACATCTCTCGCCGTTTTCGTTCACCCATCCAGGTCTTGGGTTCTATGCTCTGACAGTGGGCATTATCGGGCTGATCCCAACTCCAACACCGCCTCCCCGACCAGAAGGTGCCGAAGAGGATGACTCGACCCCGGACGGAAATCACTCTCATCACGACTGAATTTCTGAGGTTTCTCGTTTGTGCGAAACGCCTTGATTGATCACGTCTATTGGATCTATTGGATATGAGAATACCTTGCTATCATGGAACTTTGGCGGGAGTATCAGCGTTTGTGCGAACACTGCGTGCATCGGTATCCAACCCTCACTGTAGCCCATGTGGGTTCGAGAACACAGATCTATGACTCTGGGCGTTATCCAGAGAATTGATTGCAAATGTAAACGTCAATCGGTTGCAAGACAGATCTGATCGGTGATGCTCCGGGACATCCCCCACCCTCAGGTTAGGGAACCTATGAGCTCGTGAGGATTGGGCACTCGTAGTTCTAAGTGCATTGGATCATCGCCCTAAGACGGAACCGAATGCATTGGTGTCTAGCTATGTTCACATTTCATCAATTCTGAATTTCCGCGGGGTTCGCAGAAAGGTAACTAGCCGCGTACTTGATTATGTAGGTAGCTACGGAAGAGAGAGAATTTTCCGTTTATGGCGATTTCACGCATCGCAATGTCAGCATGCGTACGGCCGGGATTTGGCCAAATACTCATCTGCGGACATCAACTGGGCTACCGGAAACCTTTGAGTACTCACTCACGTATTGGAACCTCTACTAGAGCTATATGGAACAGGGTAGACGGGTCCTAGATTCAACACCACCGATGCTCTGGCATCATTTCCCAGATCGATGCGCGTCCCCTGGCATTGTCCAGGTGTTGGGCGGTCAAATGCTCAGATGTAGATACTTGTGACATCTTTGAGTATTCGCATGACAATTAGAATGTCCGCTAAAGGATGTGACTTATGATTCGCACTCCCCTGACATTGGCTGCGGAGCATAGGTGTTGGCATTACATTTTGGCGAGGTCGTGCCAAAAACTCACATGTGGACGCCTATCTAGGCTCTAGCTCCGAGTCCTCAGTTATCAACTGGAACCTCCGCTAGAACTCCTAAGTGCAAGAGAAAGAGATGTATAGACAGGCGCTTGATCCAGCAGTGCACTACTATGGCTGCCAGCGTCGCTTTTCGTTTCGTTCTTTTGAATCCTCACACCCCTGGCTCCGCGTTACCAGTGTACGTACAGGATCGGTGGAACGCTCACTTGTGAACGCCTTTTTGGGTACCTAGAACTCGTCAGATCGTGAGCAGGCAATTTACTCCAGGGGGCTCTAAAACGAAGAAGGAAGTGCAGAGGTGTAATGATCCGAGTCAATACTGAAGCGGTTTGTCTGATAGTTTCTAAGTATAAGCGTGCACTGATGTCGATGAAATAAATGCAACCAGTGATCTTTATGTCTGAAGATCCGGCGGACCATTGAGGTGACGGATGGCCTGGAGCTACTAGGAAAGGTGCTGAACTGGCAAAAGGTCCACATGTGGACGTCTCATTCAGAGCTATGCAAAACAAGAAATTTCGAGTGACAATCTTAATACTCCATAGGAACAGTATACGAACAAGAGAAGAGAAGAAAGTGAGTCGTATTTGCACGGTTTGGCCAAAAACTCACATGTGGACGCCTGTCTAGGCTACCTGAAACCTCCGAGTTCTCAGTCATCAACTGGAACCTCCACTGGAACTCTAAGTGCAAGAGAAAGAGATGCATAGACAGACACCAGATCTGGCGCTACTGCCGCTCGCTAGCATCATTTCTTACCGCACTCTCAGACCTAGGTTGCATTGTCCTGGCATTAAGTTGACACTGCATATGACTGTGTTCAGTCAAATACCCACATGTGTTCGCGCGTCAATTAGAACGCCCGCTAGGAAAGAGGTGATTGGCGGACGCTACGTCTGGCACTATCTTGCCCGCATTGCACTAGGTATTTCCTGCAGTGCTTATGTTGGCATTACATATTTGCAGCGTTTGGCCAAAAACTCACATGTGGACACCTATCTAAGCTACCTGAAACCCCCGATAACTCAGTTGTCAACTGGAACCTCCACTGGAACTCTATGTTGAAAGAGAAAGAGAAGCTAGGCGGACGCTGACCGTTGCTCCGAGCTGGCATCGCTTTCCACTGTGTTTGCTTGAACAGTGTACATACGCAATCGGTGAAACACTCAGTTGTGGAGGACTTTGTTGGTACCTAAAACTCGTCAGATCTTGAGGAGCCGGCAAGGTGCACCCAGAGTACTCTAAAACAAGGGAAGGAGAGCAGAGGCGTGGTGATCCGAGTAATACTGAAGCGGTACTGATTTGAGCAGCAATCTTTATCTCTGATGATTCGGGGTTTGAGCGAGTCTATCATGGTTGTTATCGTTCTCTAACACATCACTGACCCGAGGTTATGGATGGTCTGAAGTTATTAGGAAGGGTGTCGAAGTGGCAAAAAGTTCACATGTGGACGTCTCATTCAGAGCTACGCAAAACAAGAAATTTCAAGTTACAATCTTAATACTCCATAGGAACAGTATGCGAACAAGAAAGTGAGTTGCATATCATTATATTTGCACCGTTTGGCCAAAAACTCACATGTGGACGCCTGTCTAGGCTACCTGAAACTTCCGAGTACTTTGTTATCAACTGGAACCTCCACTGGAACTCTATGTGTAAGAGAAAGGGATGATAGACGGAGTCTAAGTAAGCACCACTGTTGGCTCGCTAGCATCACTTTTCATTGCGTTTTCTCGAATCCTCACTCCATTAGTGCGGAATCGGTGAAACACACACATGTGGACGTCTCTTTTGGAACTTAAAACTAGTCAGATCTCGAGGAACTGGCGAGTTGCTCCAAGGGTACTTCAGAACAAGGGAAGGAAAGCAAAGGTATGGCGATCCAAGCTCTACTGATTAGTTTGAAGCAGTGATCTTACGTCTAAAGATCTGGCCTGAATTTTGGGTTTAGGCAAGTCTATCATAGTCATTCTCTAGCACATCACTGACTCAAAGTCACGGATAGTCCGGGGCTACCAGGAAGGACGGCAAAGCGACAAAAAGCCCACATGTGGACGTCTCGTTCAGAGCTATGCAATACAAGAAATTCCGAGCGACAAGCTTAACACTCGATAGGAACAGTATGAATGCAAGAGAAGAGATGGAATTAATGAAAGTGAGTAGCAAGGTTACCGATAGTTTATATGTTCATCTTATTAAGGGGTAGGCTGCAAGCCTATCACAGCTGCAGTTTTGTAGATCTAGCCAGGCTAGCGGGCACAAAATGAGACCGGATTCGAGGTAAGTTGCTAAGTTCTTGATCTCCTGGGAGGATGTCCACCTTGTCGTGGTCCAGGAGCTGCCTGATGAAGACTTGAGGACTGTGACTTGTCATGGTTCAGCAGTCGAGGGCTCCAAGAGGCATCCATTGCTCGATCTAGTGTGGTAGTTGCTTAATCTAGGGCGATAGTTGCTTGTTGTTTCCGGGGCAGAGACTTCTTAAGAGTTCCCACTTGTCGCGGTTCAGTCGAACCCGACAGTGGCTCTGGGGTCAAAGCTCCGAGGGGAGGGGCGGGGGGATGTTTGTGTATCGCGTTTACAGCAAAGGCCTCCTTAGAGTCCCCACTTGTTGCGGTTCAGTTGATCCCGACAGTGGCTCTGGGGTCGAAGCTTCACGGGGATACGATCTCTTTAGAGTCCCCACTTGTTGCGGTTCAGTTGAACCCAACAGTGGCTCTGGGATCCGAAACTCCAACGCGACTTAGAGTGAAGACTTCTTAAAGAGTCCCCACTTGGCGTGGTTCAGTTGAACCCGGCAGTGGCTCTGGGGTCGAAGCTCTAAGAGGGGTGGTGGTGGTGGGGGTATATCGCGTCCATAGCAAAAGCCTCTTAAGAGTCCCCACTTGTTGCGGTTCAGTCGATCCCGACAGTGGCTCTGGGGTCGAAGCTTCACGGGGATACGATCTCTTTAGAGTCCCCACTTGTTGCGATTCATTGGAATAATCCGACAGTGGCTCTGGGATCCGAAGCTCCAACGCGACTTAGGGTGAAAGACTTCTTAAAGAGTCCCCACTTGCTGCGGTTCAGTTGAACCCGGCAGTGGCTCTGGGGTCGGAGCTCTAAGAGAGAGGGGGGGGGAGAGGAGATGTATCGCGTCCACAGCAAAAGCCTCCTAAGAGTCTCCACATGTTGCGGTTCAGTCGATCCCGACAGTGGCTCTGGGGCCAAAGCTTCACGGGGGTACGATCTCTTTAGAGTCCCCACTTGTTGCGATTCATTGGAATAATCCGACAGTGGCTCTGGGATCCGAAACTCCAACGCGCCTTAGGGCGAAATGACTTCTTAAAGAGTCTCCACTTGCTGCGGTTCAGTTGAACCCGGCAGTGGCTCTGGGGTCAAAGCTCTAAGAGGGGGGAGAAGGGGGAGAGAGGGGGTTAGTTGCTTGCTTGATCTATGGTGGTCGTTTGTTGGTGACGTACGTTCCCCTGGGAGGATGTCCACCTTGTCGTGGTCCAGGGGCTACCTGATGAAGACTTCAGAGCTGTGACTTGTCATAGTTCAGGAGTCGAGGGCTCCAAGAGGCATCCAATCCTTAGTCTTAGTGATAGTTATTTATGGAGATGGTAGCGACGGGACAGAGTTTTCTTCTATGTTGCCAGGACTCGAGGAGAAAAAAAAAAGGGGGGGACGCAAGCGGCGAGTGCGGCGTAGGGTTAGCTAAGATAGAACTATTGTTGGGGCTGTTTCACAAAATTCATCCTGATACCAATCGCCATTGACACGGGCGCTCACGTTCGTTGATTGCAGATTTAGATAATCCGATATATGTGGTGTAGTGTATGTATCGCTCCAATTTGATACACATGCCACCCCCGAAAGAGGCATGTGTAGTTCCCTGTCAAGAGCAAGCATTCTGCCAACGAGAGTACAGCGAGACAAGGCTAGCCAATGTTCGTTTAGAGAACCAAAGCTGTACAGGCGTCTTAGCGATATTTGAGTTAATCGGTAGAAGCCAAATGTCAAGAACTAGCCGCAGGAATTGTTAAGCGATCACCGACACAGATCGATATGTGAAAGGTACTCTCAAACAAGGAGACGCCACATCAAGGTATTAAGGGACATAGTCCCAACCTCCTAAATCCTACGAACAGATAAATACCTAGAATATATCAAATATCGGTGCAGTTGTCTATGTATACAGAAGGCAGAGGAATTCTCCATGTCTTCCAGGTGCATCAATGCAAGAAAGCGTACTGAGGACACACAACCAGAGCAGAGGGACGACGGAGTCGGCTGGTAACCACGGGTGGTAGGTAGGTGCACATTCGGCTGATTGGTATATTGGCTCGTTCCTTCTTAGGCCCCGGTCCAGCATGATACAGTAGGTATCCGAACCGTGTGGAGTCAGGTTGTAGGAGACACCGGCAGCATTCGCAGTTTCCTTGCTTTTCAGCACCGGAAGCGGCGTCGTTGTAACAAACAAGCCACATAGAAGTAGTACTTGGTAAGTAAAAAAAAAAAAAAGATCGCGAGGCCCTTTACACATGCAGCTGGAGGATATACTAGTAAGTAAACGAGGGTGCAACTTTAGATGGTGTGGCGCTGTCGAACGACTTGCATATAGCCGTGGGAATAAATAAAATTGGTGTTGCGTAAACTTATCTTTCCCACTTCTCACTAGGACAAGCCAGTTCCTGCTCGAAGCCCATTGTAGTACAATATAGCGAAAAAAAAGCAGGCATCATGCGCAAAAAGTTGAGAAGCGAGGGCAAACCCCATATTTACGTAATATTTTTGAGACGCAACTTCAATTTTGGGCTAGTGCTTATGCACGAATGAGGGAACGTTCAGATATCTTCATTTCATTTACCATACCTCCTACTTGCACAGCGCAACAAGGAAAAGAAGAAAAGGGAGGGGGAAAAAAAGGGTCTGGCTAGCGCTGACCAGTCGTCAACCCAGCCTGTACGGTAGGCCGTGACTGAATACGACCTAGCCATTCCTAGTGGGATTCGAGGTTTTGAATTAAGTTTGGGAGTCTCTTCCTCTTGTGTGTGATGGATCCGACTTACAGCGACATGAGGCCACTTTTTCAAATCGCCTTGTGGAAGACCTCCGAACGCGAACATCCCACGAACCCTAAAGAGGAGAGATTCACTCATTAGCTGCAACAGATCGTCGATAATTTCCCCCCGCCCACTCACAAAGGGAAAAGACTAATATCGGCAACGCTAAATGTTCCCTTCCCATCACCAACAAGATACTCCCTCCCACCCTCTTCTTCCAACCTCTGATTAATGACACCAATCACCCTCGCCGCTTCTTTACCAACCCTCTCACTAGCATGAGGAACTTTTACATCCAACCAATTATAATGGACGGCTTCCATGAAGGTTGGAGTGAGATTACCAGGACCCCAAAAGAGCCATGAAAGTTGTTCGCCGTAATGAGGTGAGGTCGTAGAGAAACTTAGTTTGTGGTCGGGGTCGAAGGAGGTGGTGATGTATGATAAGATGGCGGAAGATTCGAAGATCCGGGCGGTATGACCGGAAGGGAGCGTATGTAGAAGAGCGGGAATTTTGTTGTTCTATAGGTATATATACCGAGCAGATTGGGTGAGTGGGTAGTTGTAGCCAGTCCAGGAAGGCTCTTATTCAAGACGTACGGGGTTGACCTTTGAGAATTCAGCACTGAAGTGCTCCTTCTTCCGACTTTCGATCGTCTTCAGAGAGTAATCGAATTCTTTCCCATAAGCATTACGAAGTTCCTCAAAGAGGATAGCGGCTTTATGACCGTTGGGCGACCCTCCTCCAACGAAAAGGTATAGTTCCTAAATGGCCAAAAAGATGAGTGCAAGGGTCATGGCCGGTTAGCATGGAAAAGTGGAGGGATGAGGTGTGCAGGAAAAGCTTGAGCGCCTGTCGTGTGATGGAACCGAGACGGAGTGCATTAACACCGTCCAAACCAGCAGAAAAGGGCCGCTGACTGGCATAAGCACGTATCGGCAATCATTAAAGAGCCGATGGTCTTAATAAAGAACACGCTCACGCCCGTCAACCTCGGGTAGAGACATACCGAACGCGAATGGCGCAATATTTCCCCATGCAACTCCACATCTTTGGGAAGATAAAAACAGGAGACTCGGGTATAATAAACTCACCAAGGCCTTCTTTCCTTCAGGCGTAACGATAGGAGGCATTCCAACGCTGGTAGCACTAGTCGCCATTTTCCTGAAGCTGACGCAGTTGTTGAGGGTGGGAAGAGCAAGACAGAGGAGTGTTCGAGCGGTGGTTTGACCAAAGACCATCGAGGTTTAAGTAATGAGCTTGAATAAAGGAGCTTCTACTACATCTCTTCAGATCTACACGTTGCACAGGCAACGGAGCAAAGTGATTATGTAAGAACAGGGAACCGATGTTGATGTTCTTTTGGGTTGTTGAGTGTGCAGCGATAATGGAATGTATTGGGCGCTGAGGCGATGACAAGCAATTAGTCATCCATGAATAATCCTCGGATCTTGGAAGAAAGGGATTCCCCGACCAAAGTAGGGTTCCGTCAAGTCGGAGCCAAGTCAGCAAAGCAGCCAAGCAGTGTACAAAGCAGTACTTGTGCAATGGTGTCTCATTCGGTACTGAATCGCAGCGTGAGAAACCATCAAATTCCTAGGCGCTTGGATCAAGTCCGAATTCAAAATCAGGGCGCCAACCTTACTTACCCTGACTGCGATGAACAAGGATCGCAATTGCAACAGCAAGCCACGTAAGCGCACCTGCATAGGCGCACACGCATGCAAACCACCAGCGGCTCACCAGTCACCCCCCCTCCAATCCACAAACGCCCCATTCCCTTTCATCTGAGGCGTCTCCCGCCGTAAATAGTCCCTTGTTTTCATCATTTCCCCAACGTATGGTTCGGAAAGATCTATACCTCTTCACTGTTCCTGGATGGTAAGAAAATGCTCTGGAAGATAGATCAAGGGTGATGAGAAACAGGGTACGAATAATCTGCTTGTAAGAGTACCACTTAGTATGATCATATTGTCGATTCCGGCACTATGTGCGTGAGTTGGCATTTTGCTCGACGTACCCTCCAACTCAGTTATCAGCCGTACTCCCCTTGCAATTCGCTGTAATAGATACGATAGTGGACTCATCCATCGGCAAAATGCCATTCGATGCGCCTCTCATGATCCTGTCCCCCCGTCCAAGTCCTTGGAACCATCGTTTCCTCTTCCGGAAGGAGGAGCCAAATCCCAATAAAATGTCCAAAAAACAGCAACATTCGCAATGAACGAACCGTTCCAGAAACGTTCACCAGATCCCTCCCCCCCCTTGCTCGGCTTAATCTCAAAGTTACACCTCCACCTCCCTCTTGTCTTCTTCCCGTGACTGTGATGACCTTTCTTCGCTACCAAGTATTGCTTTGGACGCATTTCCAGAAGCCAGAAGTAGTAGTAGCCACCACATTAGGCCGGACGGGTATCTCGGAGGAGTGAATGTACGACGGGCGCGTCCTAGAGCTTTGGACGATCCTTGGTTGAGAGTGCAATTAAGGTCAACCTACCATCAATTTGAATTTTCTCGCGCTCGTGTTGTTGCGCGGTAAGAGTTGTATTCACGTCTCGTTGGAGGCGAGCGCAGCACGACGTCGCGTCTCGGGAGACGTATCAGAGGTTTAAATATGACAGGCTGTTCGTCATTCGAGAGAATACCTTCAAGATTGAGGGAATGCAAGCTGGTTCTATTTTGAGAAGTGACATGTCCCACTGATGGCCAATGACGCATGCGGCCCGTGCCTGGAGGAAATATTGTTCCTTGGTGGCTTCACATTTTCAACATGTTATTTTCTTCCAAAATACCACCCGAGATCCTTCCAATTCCAAGCATTCAACGTGAAGGACAGCATTACGACGTTGCCCGTAATCAGGCCGCCTCTTTAGCTAAAACTCGAATTCTCCATCCGAAATCAAATCGCAGTTGCCTCCTCCTCTTTAAACTGGTATTCTAATTTCCTACTTTTGTAACGGTAGCAGTGGCACACTCAACCCCAACTGGACCGCTGGCCTTTCACCTATCCGATCTAACCACCCTTTGAAGTGAGGGTACGATTCTATCGTCTCCGAATCTATACCTGCGTAGGACCATTTCCTGCACCTTTGAAAGAGAGGGTATGTTAATTCACCGGAGTAGGGGGGAGGAAAGGAAGAACTAAGATATTGGATGGAGAGAACATACCAAGTCCAAGCGCTAATATCCGCAATACTGTACCTCCCCCTCCCGGATCCAACAAGATAATCCCTCCCTTCACCTTCTTTCAATCTATCGTCCAGTACGGTAAAGAGACGTTTAGTCTCATTTGTATATCCTGCTCCCAAGGGATATGGTCGGTTGGTTACCGGGAGGTTAATAAAATAAGAGAACAAGTTAGTTTGTGGCCTAGTTAGACGGCGAGGGGGAGGGGTGGAAGACTTACGGTTTATGGCGTAGGGGATTTTTTCAGGTGCATATCTCGTAAAGTGAATCGCTTGACCTGTATTTGTGGTAGTGATCATTGATCATCCAGTCATAATGCATCTTCAAAAAGACGGACATACCCTGCATGGGCCCAATACCACCATGCTAATACCACCCAGGTGAAATGAGAATCGTGTCAGCAGGTCAATCCCCACACACGACCCTTCAACAACTCACTATAAAGAAAATCCATTGTAAACACTCGCTTTCTTCCTCCGAACCTTCCAGAAAGCTGATTTTTCTCTCCTTATCGAAGTGCTTGACTAGGTAGAGCAATATGGCACTACTTTCGAAGACGTTGAAGTGTGACATCTTCCCGTTTAGGTAATGGTGTGTCAAGGCGGGGATTCGACCGTTAGGGTTGATCTTGGGAGGTGGGAGGTGGTGTGAGATGTGGAGGGTGAGATGTCAGAAAGGGAAGCGTACTTTTAAAAACCAAGGTTGTTTTTGTTCAAGGATGGAAAAGTCGAGTGTCTGCAGAAGACAAATTGAGCCTCAACTAGAAGGGGAGAGATCGACTCGATAATGGACTGACCTTGTATCCATATGAGATCTGAACACCAGGATAGGCGGCTTTCAACTCCTCCAACAGATGTAATAGGAGAGAACGATTAGTTGTTACACTCAGCTCTAGATCCTGCAGCAAGGCATGTCGTACCCAGTGTGACGGAAACTTTATAGCCGTTGGGTGATGGCGCGGTATAGAGTGTAAATGTAGCTTTAGCCTCAGACGACATCAGACGCGTATGCGTCGAAATGGTGGCAGCACCGGTGGAGCGAGTGGCGGACGGAGAGGAAGTAAAGCCAAACAGACTCTGACATATGACCGGCGTCCAAGCTTGAGCTCGAGCCCTCGACAACAACGAAGCTCCATATAGCATCCTGCAGCCACGAATACAATAGCGTGACATTGGTGATTTTGCAAGCCGTGGTTGGAGCTTGAATGTCCAACTTGGGGTCTGAATGCTCCCACTAGAGATTATTACATAGAAGGTCATCGTCGGATACTTATAAGTCCATGGAGTGAATAATGAATCTGAGAGATTAAATATGGGAAGTGATGGGATGGGTGTGGGTTGGAAGGGAGGGATTCACCGAGGGCTCATTTATCGCTTAGCTAGTACCTGCTCTTTGGATCAATCGGAGCGCATAATTTGATCTGCCACGCTCGGCATTATGCCCTGTACTCGGTATTAGTCCCGGGACGTGCGGTAGATCGGCTGTCTTTCCCTGGGGTGCTGATGTGAGGCATGTCAGCGAGCAGCCATAACGGCTCAAATGCGTGATTTTTGAAATTTCGAGGACCTGGATGAACCAATGATATTGATGGTTCTCCCACTGCTATTGTTGGAGAGCTCTAGTACGACGCACGAAGATTCGAATTTGAGATATCGGGAAGGCACACGACTGGTATCACAGCCAGGGGAAATTCAGGGTACTACCTAGCCTCAGAATCAATGATGTATGTAGTGTTGCCAGTTGAAATTGAGGACGTCAAAACAGATGCCCCGTGCGTATCGAGACGTCGAGCACTTTAGACCATCCTGCAATCCCGAAAGTCGGAGAGGGTCGGAGAGAGTCGGAGAGAGTCGAGTTTTTGCTAGGTGCTTCTTGCGGGGTGGGTCATTAGAACAATGTTCCAAGTGAACCACGCACCCGGCTCGAAATGAATTCCCGCCCAACACCTTCCTCCAACGAAAAGGTCGAAAATTCATCGCCCACAGACCTTCAGCAAGGAGCAGAGCTCCATACCAACTTTTCACGTCCATATACATCACCACGTTGCTGAAAACGGGGAGTTTAGTTGAGGAAGAGAAGGTCGCACCGTCGTATCTATCTGTTCTCGGCTTGATGCAAGACGCCCTCCACCGCATCATGGACATGCAAGATTTGGTGAGAATGTCTGGGAGAATGTCTTCTCGGTACAATTCATATTCATACGCCAGAACAGAAAGCCGTGTAAGATATGAGAATTAAGCCTCATCGATTATAGGCTAGCGGGATGAAGGTAGCCTTTCACGATTTTCAGTGGTAGAATCCTGGCGAGAGTACCCAGATGACCTTTTAGTTAGACATTATATAGCAGTGAGCGAATCGGAGTGTGAGTCTGGAAAGATTGGAACTGCGTGGATGAACCAAGTTGGTGGTAGAAAGAAGCGCCGAACGCAAATAGGAGCCAAGGCTGCAACTACATAGTACAGTTATCTTCTATTAGGTCGTGATATGAGCTATTCCGTATTGAAAAGCGAGGAAATAGAAACAACGTCTCCGCGGAAGCCAAGAAAAGAAGAGACATCGCTTCGATTCCATTTTCCCGCGGAGTATCATCATAAAATTCGCACAGACAATCTGATGAAAATAAAGACATCCATTTGGGGAGCTGCCATGCGACCGCCGGAGAATAAGCTAGGGTCGATGGTGTGGATAATCTTTACAAGACTCCAGACCCATTGAGCGTGCGGCCGCAGTAATGAACACGGCTAATTCCGGAAAAACATTAAATGAACATGTTTTGCGCGAGAACGAATCAAGCTTGCTAATCGATGAACTCATGATGAAATGAGAAATGGACATTGCGCCTTCAACTTGACTATTTGAATTCATTGGTTAACGGAAGTGACTTACCTCGAATGAATATTTGCAAGTTTTTTCCTTGGCTTATAAGGCGTTTGGATCTGAACTAGCCCAAAATCGAAGTACGTCTCAAAAAATTACGTAAATATGCTCGACTCTCAACTTTCACGCATGATGTCGATGTCTGCATGCTCGGGAAGCTTTCATGAGCTTAGGGCAGCAGGAGAGGAAAAGCGGCAACGAATTTAATTTATTCCCACGGCTACAAGCGTTCGACATCACTAACAATATCCTAAACTCCAGTGCATCTAGAGAGCCCCTCGCTTACTTATATCCTCCAGCTGCATGTGTACAACCTTTCTACGTACCAAGGACTTTTCTGTGGCTCGTTTGTTCAACGACACGGTGCTGAAAAGTAAGGGCAGAGAAACGCAAAGAAGTTGTGAATGCTGCTGGTGTCTCCTGCGAGCTGATTACACAGTTCAAATACTTCTTGTATCATGCTGGGCCGGGGCCTAAGAAGAAACGAACATTAGCCCCATGTATATACACCTACCACCCTTGGTTACCAGCCGACTCCGTCGCCCCTCTACACTTTCTTGCACTGATGCGCCTGGAAAATCGCTCCATCTTCTATATATATATGGATATGTGCACCGAGAACTCACCGTTTGCGTCTCTTGAGTTGGGTAACATAGAAGATAACTCTGTCCCGTCGCTACCATCTCCATCACTGAGACTAAGATTGGATGCCTCTTGGAGCCCTCGACTGCTGAACTATGACAAGTCACAGTCCTGAAGTCTTCGTCAGGCAGCCCCTGGACCACGACAAGGTGGACATCCTCCCAGGGGAACGTCACCAACAAACAACCGCTGTAGATCAAGCAAGCAATTTCCCCCTCTCCCCCTCCCCCCCTCTTAGAGCTTTGACCCCAGAGCCACTGCCGGGTTCAACTGAACCGTAGCAAGTGGAGACTCTTTAAGAAGTCATTTCACCCTAAGGCGCGTTGGAGTTTCAGATCCCAGAGCCACTGTCGGATTATTCCAATGAATCGCAACAAGTGGGGACTCTAAAGAGATCGTATCCCCGTGAAGCTTCGACCCCAGAGCCACTGTCGGGATCGACTGAACCGCAACATGTGGAGACTCTTAGGAGGCTTTGGCTGTGGACGCGATACATCCCCTCCCCCCCTCTCTCTTAGAGCTCCGACCCCAGAGCCACTGCCGGGTTCAACTGAACCGCAGCAAGTGGGGACTCCTTAAGAAGTCTTTCGCCCTAAGCCGCGTTGGAGTTTCGGATCCCAGAGCCACTGTCGGATTATTCCAATGAATCGCAACAAGTGGGGACTCTAAAGAGATCGTATCCCCGTGAAGCTTCGACCCCAGAGCCACTGTCGGGATCGACTGAACCGCAACAAGTGGGGACTCTTAAGAGGCTTTTGCTGTGGACGCGATATACCCCCACCCCCACCCCCCCTCTTAGAGCTTCGACCCCAGAGCCACTGCCGGGTTCAACTGAACCACAGCAAGTGGGGACTCTTTAAGAAGTCTTCCCCCTAAGTCGCGTTGGAGCTTCGGATCCCAGAGCCACTGTTGGGTTCAACTGAACCGCAACAAGTGGGGACTCTAAAGAGATCGTATCCCCGTGAAGTTTCGACCCCAGAGCCACTGTTGGGATCGACTGAACCGCAACAAGTGGGGACTCTAAGGAGGCCTTTGCTTCAAACGCGATACACAAACATCCCCCCGCCCCTCCCCTCGGAGCTTTGACCCCAGAGCCACTGTCGGGTTCGACTGAACCGCGACAAGTGGGGACTCTTAAGAAGTCTCTGCCCCGGAAACAACAAGCAACTATCGCCCTAGATTAAGCAACTACCACACTAGATCGAGCAATGGATGCCTCTTGGAGCCCTCAACTGCTGAACCATGACAAGTCACAGTCCTGAAGTTTTCATCAGGCAGCTCCTGGACCACGACAAGGTGGACATCCTCCCAGGAGATCAAGAACTTAGCAACTTACCTCGAATCCGGTAATCCGGTCTCATTTTGTGCTCACTGGCCTGGCTAGATCTATAAAACTGCAGCTATGCTTGCAGCCTGCCCCTTAATAAGATGAACATATAGACCGTCAGTGACCTTGCTACTCACTTTCATTAATTCCTTCTCTTCTCTTGCATTCATACTGTTCCTATCGAGTGTTAAGATTGTCACTCGGAATTTCTTGTATTGCATGGTTCTGAACGAGACGTCCACATGTGGGCTTTTTGTCGCTTCGGCGTCCTTCCTAGTAGCCCCGGACTATCTGTAACCTCGGGTCAGTGATGTGCTAGAGAATAACTATGATAGACTTGCCTAAACCCAAAATTCAGGCCAGATCTTCAGATGTAAGATCGCTGCTTCGAACTAATCAGTAGAGCTTGGATCGCCATACCTCTGCTCTCCTTGTTCTGGAGTACCCTTGGAGCAACTTGCCGGTTCCTTGAGATCTGACTAGTTTTAGGTTCCAAAAGAGACGTCCACATGTGTGTGTTTCACCGATTCCGTACTAATGATGCTAGGTGTGAGGATTCAAGAAAACACAATGAAAGCGATGCTAGCGAGCCAACAGTAGTGCTTACTTAGACTCTGTCTATCATCCCTTTCTCTTACACATAGAGTTCCAGTGGAGGTTCCAGTTGATAACAAAGAACTCGGAGGTTTCAGGTAGCCTAGACAGGCGTCCACATGTGAGTTTTTGGCCAAACGGTGCAAATATAATGATATGCAACTCACTTTCTTCTCTTATCTTGTTTCTATACTGTTCCAATGGAGTATTGAGGTTGTCACTCAAAATTTCTTGTTTTCCATCGCTCTGAATGAGACGTCCACATGTGAACTTTTTGCCACTTCGACACCCTTCCTACCTTCCTAATAACTTCAGACCATCCGTAACCTCGGGTCAACGATGTGTTAGAAAATGATAACAACCATGATAGACTTGCCTATACCCCGGATCATCAGACATATGAAGATCGCTGCTCAAATCAGTATCGCTTCATTATTTCTCGGATCGCCTGCTCCTCAAGATCTGACTAGTTCTAGGTACCAACAAAGACGTCCACAAGTGAGTGTTTCACCGATTGCGTATGTACACTGGTGTGAGGGTTGGAGAAAACACAGTGGAAAGCGATGCCAGCGAGCAACGGTGGTGCCGATCCAGCGTCTGTCTATGTTCTCTTTCTTTACCACATAGAGTTCCAGTGGAGGTTCCAGTTGATAACTGAGTTATCGGGGGTTTCAGGCAGCTAAGATAGGCGTCCACATGTGAGTTTTTGGCCAAATGCTGCAAATATGTAATGCCAACACATAAGCACTGCAGCAAATACCAAGGCGAGCGCAGATTCGAGGGAGTGCAATGCGGGCAAGCTAGTGCCAGACATAGCATCCGTCAATCACCTCCTTCTCTCAGCGGGCGTTCTAATTGACGCCCGAACGCATGTCAGTTATTTGACCGAACCCGGCCATACGCAGTGTCAACAATGCCAGGAGAATGCAGGTCTGAGAGTGCGATAAGAAATTATGCTTGCGAGCCACTGTAGCGCCAGATCTAGTGTCTGTCTATGCATCTCTTTCTCTTGTACTTAGAGTTCCAGTGGAGGTTCCAGTTGATAACTGAGAACTCCGAGGTTTCAGGTAGCCTAGACAGGCGTCCACATGTGAGTTTTTGGCCAAACCCTGCAAATGCAACTCACTCTTATCATTCCTTCTCTTCTCTTGATCGTATACTGTTCCTATTGGGTATTAATATTGTCACTCAGTCCTGTTCTGGAGGAAGAGTCATAAGCAGGGAATGGCTTCCTTCGGGGAATTACTATACGACAGAATCCACTTTGGCACCAGCCAGCGCTGCTTAGGGTATGTCACTACTGTTGATCTACGGTCCCACTCGATCTATACACGGCTTGAACCGTATTGTCCAATCACACCCTCGGGCTCTTGGCTACGCTTCCTGATTCACTGCGTGGCTGCACCACATTCTCATCCTACCCATCCGCATCTGTACACAGAGCTGTTTTCTCTTTCGGACCGATGGCGATTGCCAAAGTGGACGCTCAGGCTCGATGTACAACAACAGTTGTTTCTTCCGACTGAACCTGAGCTTTCCTCTCTTTCTCGCTTCACTTGTTCTCGATCGTTTCTTGGGTCTGACTTTAACGCCCTCGAAGCCGGGATTGAGCCTAACCCCACTCCCGTTTGGTATCGGAGAAAGCAGTTAATACATGGTCGATGTACTTCAGAATTTGCGCAGAGTATATAAACCTTCTGGCACACATTGGGCCATCAAGATGCCGCACAGAGGTTTGCGATCTGTACACAAAAAGGAGGCCGAGAATACAACTCAGTACTTCGCCCGTCAACTCTACCCACCGGGACTACGACGGTTCGGGCTCCCAGTTCTCTATTTTTTCCCATACCGTAATCCCGCTTCGCAATGCTATTTCTATTGGTTATCCCACCCGGATACTGGGCGCCTAATATATACAATGAGTCTCCGTAACCTATTCGCCGCAGATCATCATTGACACTAGAGCGTTCAGGATGAGATTCCGGTCCTAGGAAGAACCCCCTCCCTCGGCTAGGCTTCCAACTTGGGGGTGTTCGTGTTTCTGTTTTTGTGGCCATATTTTTAAGTTCGAAACTCTGTCCTTTGCTAGGTTCAACTTGATGATGACGCTTCTGGGCCCTGGACTGGAATAAACCCCCACGTTTCATTGAGATTCCTAGGTCGGCGACTGCTCATTGCGGGTCGACACAAACCATTTGCATCTGTGGCAGGAGGATGTCGTGCATGTGTAAAGTTGGACGATCTCACCCCACTATTATCGGATCGAGTTCACCCCTGAGACACTGAATACGGCTCTGACTGCGGCCTGAGCAGCCGTAAGCGAGGATTGCGCAAACTACACTCGAGCCCGACCTCTGATACCCATTCGGAACGTCTTCATGAAGCTGACTATCGAGTGAAAGGTTCTTATACATTGAATCATACAACTACAAAGTTGTGATTATGTCGTTCTTCCCGTCCTCATGCCAATATACGGCCTCACCACCCGTGCACCAGCAGTACAATTACAGAAGCCATCACTCCCCGGGGTCTACTCACTTGGTCAGAATAACACCATTTCCCCTCAAGATCCACTGTGAACCCTGCCTAGCTGCTTCCTCCTGTTGTTCCTTCGTCAATTGACTCGCAGCAGGACCTTTCTCAGGCACGTTAAGACCCGCCTGAACACCTGGACTTTTAGCAATTCTATCGAGCCATTTCTGTCGATGGACCCGTTAGTCGTGCAGGAATGAAGAAAGAAACGTGAGACATACGGCAAGGTTAGGGAAATCATCGAGGCTGTCGAGGCCCGTCCATGCCCAACCGTTGATCCTATTCCAATGTTCGACAATTAATTAACGCTATAAGAGGACGATGACAAACGTACCAAGGCCAAACGTTGATATCAGCAATAGAATACTTCCCCTTCCCAGATCCAACTAGATAGTCTCGACCTTCACCTTGGGTCAACCTGGCCTCGAGGACGCTATAAAGACGTTTTGTTTCGGTCATGTAACCTGGTGGATTAAAGAGATCATGGAAATGGTAGCTTGTTCCCTTGCACGAAGGCGAAAGAGAGTGAGGGAGGTATACCTACGGTTTATGCCATAGGGGATTTTTTCAGGTGCGTAGCGGTAGAAGTGATTCGCTTGTCCTGTTATCGAGCCAGAGAATGTAATTATAACGGAATCTTGACAATTTCCAGACTTGGCGAACCTGACATCGGACCAACACCACCATGCTATATAAACAAACCCAAGAAGTTGCGTCAGACTATGGTATCAATGCTCTCAGGCCGCGGACGAGACGACCGAAGTCCCCCAACACCATATCCGGAAAAACTCACAGAAAAGAATATCCACTGAAGAGCTTCGGATTCCTCATCTGATCCCACCTCAAAACTGATCTTTCTCTCTGGATCCCATCGCTGAACGAGATAAAGAAGTATGGCGGCTGATTCGAAAACGTTAAACTGCGTTCCGTCTGGGCGGTGGTGGGTCACTGCCGGAATTCGACCATTCGGGTTTATTTGAAGGAACCATGGTTCTTTCTGTTCCAGTTTGCTGAAGTCCAGTTTCTAAATGGCGGGGATATGAGAAGTGGGGATACAATGAGTGCCCGTGACTGGAACGTGAACTCCGCATACTTTAAAATCGTAGCTTAGTCCTCCATCGGGATACAATTCTTTGAGGGCCTCTGTGAGATATAAGGCAAAACGGCAAATTAGCGCTTGCAATCGCCACGCAGGTTAGCCTATACGCACCAAGAGTTATGGAGACTTTGTGGCCATTAGGGCTCGGAGCAGTATAAAGGGTCAAAGTAGGCGTCGACATGATCAAGCGAGTAGACAAGAGCCTAGCGAATGCGATTCGGAGCCTCGAAACGTGAAGGAGCTTTGAGAGATTCCGAGGGGCAGGTTGAATGGAGGAGTGTAGCAAGCAATGAAGGGTCATTTATATAGCAGAAATGTCATTTTGTCCACCTCCACCACCATGTGGAGGTATCGTGCATGACATTAATGAGTCCCTTAGGCTGCTGGGTTTGGACACTGCTTGGTAAGATCAACTTGAAAGGTGAGCCGAGCTAAAACCTATTCCGAAAATCATGCACACGTAGTCGTCGCTGGCAGCAGTCAACTCCCCTAGGCACACTAGTGAGGGGATCACTGGTTATGGGTGAATCTTAATTAATACTCAGGTGGATTCGTAAGGCATGAAGAAATGAATAATATTTGTGTGGGAGAATGACTAAGCGTATTACAGGAGCAGTCCGCTCCCAAGGGCCTTCAAGGTCAGATTGCTTTCTCCGTGCGCCTGGGCTCAGTGTTCAACAACGATCACTAGGTTGTAGAGGGGTCCGCCGAGTTCGGGTTGTTGTACTCTATTTTGTTACCCCGCGGTACGTGGGAGTTGCGGCTATCTAGCTAGCTCGGTGCAACTGAATCTACATAAGGGGTGTGGTTTGTGCTCCTCTGCGTGCTCCGGGTCGGTCGCGTTCTCCTCCCTCGCCGAGTCAGATCGCCTGTCATTGACGTCACCACAACCCACATTCGAATGCAATTGCGACAATGCGACAGGCACTGGCATGTACCCCTTGATACTGTCGTTCATCATGTCACTTAATAATATTATGTGCTGGACTATCGCCAAGTCAATTCAAAGTTATGCTCCTGGCGATACACTGGGTGACCAATTTCATCTTTCCGTTGCACCGACATCCAAATCTCAATATTGGCATCACGCATGATGGTATGCAGAAAAAGAAAGAGTACAACAGCAACGAGCGATGGGAATGAAAATATTTAGATAAAGAAATGAGTATCGCTGATGTTAAAATTTTAAGATGCGATATGGTGCTCTAGCTATAAATATTGTTTCAATCAAAAATTGTGAATAAATTTGTTATTGTTCTCGGACTATCCAATTCAGGCCGCAAACTGGGAATCGCTGTGCCTGAGTCGCTCGAACGTGGACCATGGGTGCTTCGGAGTAATGTCCGAGATCGAAAAGGGCATCACGCAGAGAGAAATGCCGAGTTCAGTTGAGGCCGACGTCGGTGGGGTTGCCTGTCATACCTTGGCATCGCCACAAGTCGATTGGTATCCTCGACTTCCCACTCTTGTATTCGGATAGAGTTGATGTGCAGTTGCTTGTCGAGATAAATCGAAGTTTGTTGTCGTTGTCCCTTACGTATTGGAGGTTGATATCCCCAAACATAGTTCAAGTTCCCAACTTTCACAACGCTAGCACGATGGCACCAGAGAATGTCAACTAGTCTGCTTCGTCCTTTCATTGCACCAACGTTCATCGTCCATCCAAACCTCGGCATCATCACCTATGATGTTATGCAGAAATATGGACCAGATGAGCAATCAGCGGCAGGCAAAATGGTCTACTTGAATAAATGAACACCGGATGTGGGAAAGTTTCTAACGAAAAAAAAAAAACTGGGATAGAGTAATTGAGCTGAACACCCCCTTCCACACATGCAGCATATGCAGTATGGTGTGGTTGGCCCACGAGAAAAGGCAATGATAAGCGGAATGGGGAAGACCAGAGAACGGCCACTCAATCGCGAACCATCAGCGCCTCGGAATCGCGCCCGAGATCGGAGAGTGCACTACGTAGGTTCTTGAGCGAGTTAGCCAATTCTGGGGCATGTGCTCCTGGGTTAACAAGAACTAGCTGGCGCCGGATTTGGACACATTCTTCAATAATTAGGAGTGCCTCCGAGTGCCGTCCGAGACTGGAAAGAATGATAGATAGGTTGTTGAGTGACATGGCTAAATCTGGGGTGTATGATCCTGGCTGAACAGCAACTAGCTGGCGTCGGAGTTTGACACTTTCTTCGATGAATGGGAGTGCCTCTGGGTCCCGTCCGAGACCGGAAAGAGTGGTAGATAGATTGTTGAGTGACCCGGCCAAATCTGGGGTGTATGATCCTGGGTGAACAACAACTAGCTGGCGTCGGAGTTTGACACTTTCTTCGATGAATGGGAGCGCCTCTGAGTCCCGTCCCAGATTGGAAAGAGCATTGCATAGGTTGCTGAGTGTCACGGCCAAATCCGGGGTGTAAGATCCTGGGTGGACAGCAACTAGCTGGCGGTATAGTTTGACGCTCTCTTCAATGTATGGAAGCGCCTCTGAGTGCCGTCCAAGATCGGAAAGAGCAATACGTAGATTATTGAGTGACATAGCCAAATCCGGGGTGTATGATCCTGGATGAACGGCAACTAGTTGTCGGTAGAGTTTGACGCTTTCTTCAATGAATGAAAGTGCCTCCAAGTGCCGTCCGAGATTGGAAAGAGTGGTATACATAGTGTTGAGTGACCCGGCCAAATCCGGGGTGTATGATCCTGGGTGAACAACAACTAGCTGCCGCCGGAGTTTGACGCTCTCTTCGATGAACGGAAGCGCCTCCGAGTGGCGTCCAAGATCGGAGAGAATGGCAGATAGATTGTTGAGTGACATAGCCAAATCCGGGGTGTATGATCCTGGATAAACGGCAACTAGCTGGCGGTAGAGTTTGACGCCTTCTTCGATGAATGAAAGTGCCTCCGAGTGCCGTCCAAGATCGGAAAGAGTGGTAAATAGATTATTGAGTGACCTGGCCAAATCTGGGGTGTATGATTCTGGGTGAACAACAACTAGCTGGCGCCGGAGTTTGACGCTCTCTTCGATGAACGGGAGTGCCTCCGAGTACCGTCCGAGATCGGAAAGAATGGCAGATAGATTGCTGAGTGACATGGCTAAATCCGGGGTGTATGATCCTAGGTGAATGACAACGAGCTGGCGCCGGAGTTTGACGCTCTCTTCAACGAATGGGAGCGCCTCCGAGTGCCGTCGGAGACTGGAAAGAACGGTAGATAGATTATTGAGTGACATGGCCAAATCCGGGGTGTGTGATCCTGGGTCAACAGCAACTAGCTGGCGTCGGAGTTTGACACTTTCTTCGACAAATGGGAGTGCCTCTGGGTCCCGTCCCAGATTAGAAAGAGCGTTGGATAGGTTGTTGAGTGACGCGGCCAAATCTGGAGTGTATGATTCTGGATAAACGGCAACTAGTTGGCGATAGAGTTTGACGCTCTCTTCGATGAATGGGAGTGCCTCCGAGTGCCGTCCGAGATCAGAAAGAGCAATACGTAGATTATTGAGTGACATAGCCAAATCTGGCGTGTATGATTCTGGGTGAATGACAACCAGTTGGCGGTAGAGTTTGGCACTTTCTTCAATGAATGGGAGCGCCTCCGAGTGCCGTCCAAGATTCGAAAGTGCATTATATAGACTGTTGAGTGACTCGGCCAAATCTGGGGTGTAGGTCTCCGGGTCCAGAGAAACAAGGTCACGGCAAAGCGTAACGGAATCGTTCGCTGCTTCATAAGCCTCCTGGAATTTTGAAAAAAAATCCAAATTCCTCGCAAGCTGGATAAGCTCATTGGCCAATGCACAGACAACATCCTTGGACCGGTGCTCAACAGCCGACTAAAACATCATGAGGTAGTTCCATTAATACAATGAAGGACACATACTTTGGCCCACTTAGGTAGTAACGAGATACTAATGTAGCCCTCCATTCTCACACAGACTTCCACCCAGCGAGTTGCCTCCTGACTTAGAAACACACCGACTAACCCAGCAAGCCCCTCCTCCGGTTCTTGGACTCCACTGAGGTGATCAACAATATGGCAACATGCATAATGAAAGTGCTCAGATAACTCCTCTCGAGGAATGCGCGGCATTTCGTCTTTTTTCGACAGATTTTCAATCAGTCCTAAGCCCTCTACAGAGGAAAGATCCTGGATGAGAATCTCGGTACATCGCAGTGCAACTTTGGCATTCTCTGTCCACACATCTACTGGACCGCAGCTGGGGTTGATCGATTTGGGATCCATCCGATCGACGATAAAGTCACGGAAGGATTGGTGTAAGATTCGAACCGGAACATGATGATCCCCAACCGCTGAGAGGAGAGGTGCAAGTTCAGCCAACACATATCGAACAGAAGATTTGAGGAAAGGTGACAAAATGGCATCCCAAGCTATGACAGATAGAGGCTGCTGCGCAACGAATATTGCTCCCATCACGATTGGGTAGTCATATGCAAATTCTTCATCCTCCCAATCGCACTTCTTCAGAATGCTTGCATACAGCCGATCCATCATTCCCTCAGCAGGGACCTTTGATCGTTTGGCACCAGTGTCGAGCAGGCCCTCTAACGTCCTCATAGGATCCTTGTTGGCCGTCCTCATGTAGCGAAAGATGGTGCTGATCCAAACAAACAAGCCACTTGCTTGTTCTGAGATCTCTTGTATTTTCTTGTCCTCGTCCTGAAGATTATGGCATACATCTGGATGTACTTTCTTCAGCACTTGCAACTGGGAATGTATGTATGTGGTGCAGTCCTTCAAATTTGTCCCATCCGAAAGATCAATAGTGAGACGATCGATAGGGCAATCGGAGGAGAGGTAGCGATTCACGAGATCGAATTGTCTCGATGTGATAAAGAATTTTATGGAGGATGGTAGCCTAGGCACCCCTTCCCTAAGAATTTCGGCAAGAAGCTCAAACGCTTCTTTATCGCATTCATCTAAAGCATCGATGATGACCACCATAGGACGGTCGGGAGATGGAGGTTTATGTCGGAGAGGTGAAGCCACTAAATCCTCGAATTGCTTCGCGAGTAAGGCCGTTGAGAGGGAAGGGTCTTTTCGCAGAGCAGAGATAATGAAAGCGCGGTAAACTGGGTCATGGTCTACTAATGCCCGAGCCATGCCGCTGAATAGAGAATCAGGCCGTGACCGTTCGCCAGCTTTGAAGAAGAAGTGCAGTAACAGGGTAACGTCCTCTTCACTCGCACACCGTTCTGCTATCGTGAGCGTAATCGAAGTCTTTCCGGCACCGGCCACAGCTGTCAGTAGCATTAGCCGGTTCTCACTCTCCCCAACGTTGCGGCACCATGCCATAATATGCTCAGTGAGATCCACCCTAGTGCCTTCTAGGCATGCCTGAGTGAAATCATCGTGGGCGATAGGGGGGAATCGGAGACTATCCAGAATTTTGTCGTCCTGTAGACGACGTTCTATCGCCGCTAATTTGGCGCCGCCTATTAGGTTCGTCCTAAGCTGCATCGGCCGGAAATTAGAATAACAATAATTATGGGTCGGTACTGTGGGGAAACCTACTTGAAATGATGCCAATGCTTTGTCAAAATCTTTCTTTAGGTCATCGATCCTTCCTGGATCTCTCAAGTAGGACAATGCATTTATGAAAGCTGGTCGCTTCTCCATTTTTTGCAGTCTTCGTTCGATTCCGGACTTGATCTTCTGTAGCGCGCTAGGACTTGATGTAAGTAACGGGGTCGGGGAGAACCAAAAAAACAAACAACAAAAACAAAAACAACTTACCCGTCAAGCTTCGTGATATTCTCCACCCACGGCTTGGCCTCTTCCGCTGATGGATCGTAGGATTTTATGGCTAAAATCACCTCGGTCACAGTGTCGACTACGTGTTGACCAAAATCAGCCCATTCCTTCTTGTTGTCCTTGAACTTCTATGTGGCCCAAACTAGTGTGAGCTTTCATTCAAGGCCGATCGCAAACCATTGCGAACCTGAACCTCGTCGAGGATGGAGAGTGCACCACCAGTCGCCATTTTTAGTGGGGGACACCAATCAGCCGTGCTATTGACAACCCGGAGGACTGGGACCGCTATGGAGCCTCCCGCTACGAGGAAATCATCGATCTTTTGCCTGAGAGCTTCAGCCTTTTGCTGCAATGACATGATCAATAACAGGCAAGTGGACGGAGGAGAGCGCTTGGGTGTGCAATGCACGTGTGGTCCCTGACACTCAGAGCCACGAGGCCTCCACGATATGCGTATTTATTTCTACTTCGGTAGAACCTGCTTAGTCTAATCCGATGTCAACGGTGAATGCCAGCATGTGCGTTGGCATGACCCAGACTGGTTGAGGATGACGACAGGGAGAGAATCGATAGGCCTCATAACATATGGGACATCAGATGTAAGTCGTAATGAGGCACGAGTCGCGGCGGTCGCTTCGGGCCGGCGTTAAGCGCTGCTTGTGGCATGCGACGTTTCACGACGGTCTCATCAAGGGGACGACCAGCTTCTAATTGAGCTCTTAGGATACAGGCGAGTGAGTGTCGGCTGTGCGTCCAAGCTTATCATCGTTCAGCTATCGCCTTCTGCGAACCCAACTTTCCTTTCCGTTTAATCAAGCGCCGGTCTCTAGATCGTGTTCTGAAAGGTCCATGGCTCCTCTGTACGCGCGCCGCAAGCATCCCATGGCGCCTCGACAGATTCAAGTTTGGCGGTGGCGCTGTTTTGATGGCGCTTGTGGAACCAATACTTTTCCGCTTGGTTGAGGCCCCATGGGTGATTATCCGTTGGTGGATGAATTGGCCCCCACAAGCACTTCGACTACTTCCCA